TCCAAAAATAAGAAAAGAAGCCAAACCCCCAACCCATCAACTTCTCCCTCAGGCCCATGTAGTCAAGATCTGCTCATCTACATTCCTGATTCTCTTTGGGATTCCCACTCAACAAACAGGGCGTCTCTCAGGGGCTGAACCTCTGAAAATGGATCCTTTTATCCCTCTTGAAACTGCCTCCACATGCCAGAAGCCTCAGGGGCATCCAGCTCATCCTTTGGGGGCTCCTAATACCACCTCCAGGCCCTGCAACACTCCTACCCTGTTCACCAAGAGCCCATGATTATTAAGAGTGGCATAGGGGGCCTCTCTGGTGGCAAAAGGGATTAAGACGCAGCACTATGAAGTTACCCGCAGCCAATGCAGCATGAGTTCGATCCCCAGCCAGGGAGGTGACCCACATGGCGCAGCAGACCTCTCCTGTCTCCCCGCTGCTCCCCTCAGCAGTGTATTTCAGTAGATCCCCCAGCTCTGCTCCCCACTCTGTCTCTGGTGAATCCTCTCACTCCCTGCCCCGCACCCCCACACTGGCCTGTACCAGTTCTTGTATGCATAAATAAATCCTTTTTTTTTAAAGAATGGCATAGACCAATTTAAGATGGTACTTGGGTTGCCAAACTTTGAGCAGCAATGCTTCTGTCTCAAGACATGAAGGACCTCAAAAAGAAGGCACTTATCAAGTGCCAGATCCCAGAGGCTAACGGAACACATAAAAGGCCAGAGGACACCCAGATGGTCACTGGTCACTGGGTCTCTCCAAGTCCATTGCCTGAAATTCAGTCTTTATAAAACCACACGTGAAAGGACCCACTTCATAAACAGTGGTGGGGAAACCTACACCGTTATGTTGAGCAAGTGGTCTCTATGGGTCCCACCTACCAAAACCATTTGTAACACTGGATCAAAGGAGGATGGATCCCTTTGAACGGTCACACAAGGACTTTATTCACCTTCTAAAATGCCACAGGGAGGATTCTACCCTGATAGTAATCTGCATATTTTGAGATGGTCCACAGTTTTCCTTCATCAAACAAACAGGCAATTGCCAACACTTTTCTAGAATCTTCTGGGCAGTCCTTTGGCCTCCTCCAGTATTGGAGGCATTCGGTTCATGGCAGGGGAATTTTCTACAACCAATGAAGACTCCCATTTCACAGAAATCATGTTGTCCCCGTCAGCCACAGTCACCTGAGCAAGACCATCATTCAAGGTGACCCAGGCAGCTGGCAATGAAAGGCAGTTCCAGAAGTTTTGAGCTGGACACCTGCCCATTCAACCAAACAAAAGTTACTTTCCATTTTAAAAAGGGAGATGGATGTGAGACATGTGCTGATGGAGATCGCTCACTGGAGACCCCAGCAGAGGCTCCTTCAGGCGCCCAGAAGCAGGTGAGACCGCAAAGCAGACCTATCCCAAGAACCGAGCATCAAGCAGATGACAGCCGAGGCCCTCAGCTTGGCCCAAATGAGAACCCCCAGGGCCGCGCTTTTGGCCTGCTGGTGTCTGTGCAAGCATCTTCTCCTTTCCTTTTTCTAATAAACCGGTTTATTTAAAATGTAAAAAAAAATAGAGGACCCTCTGGGTCCCCTTTGTCATCCCCACCCTGGCCCTGCTGTGCATGGGCCCATGGGGTTATTTGGGCCTTTCGGTTGACTCTCCTTAAGTGATCTTTGATTATCTACTCTGCTTCAACTTGGTCTCTTCCCAAATGACTGCAGGCCCTCAAATAAAGCCGTTTCCTTCAACATCTTTCCTTATAATGTAGACAAGATAAAAAAGAAAAAATCCTGGCCGTTGAATGGAAACCCCTTATTTGAGGATCTGGTTTCGTTATCTGAACATGGTTTCATTTGATGCCTCAGTTTGCAAAGACCTATAGACAACATGAGGTGAAGATGTAACAGGGTGGTCCCCAGGAAAGGGGGAGGTTCCCTGCCCCACCCAAGGGAGGGTGGAGCTGAGCAGGAAGAGGAGAAGCTGCAGAAGAGACTGAGGAAGGAAGCAGGATGGAGCCAGGAGACCTGGAAGAGGCGCATGGAGCCTAGAGACACGTGAAGAAACTGTGCTTGTCTTTTGGTCGTGGACTAGGTGACACAGATGTGGGTGAGACCCATGGGGAGGTGACAATGGCAGCTTTTATCTTGATGTTGATTTTGCTCTTTTCCTTCCGGGCTTGTCCAGTTGTTTGTGACCCTTTTCTGTGGGTCCCCACTGGAAGATGCTTTAGACTTGTGGCAGGCTTTGGGGCTTTGTTCTGGGCCAATCCCATTTGGATGGACTTTTACCCACGAGGGCACGGGTAACTCTGGATGCTTCATTTAGAAACTAGACTCTTTGCCTTACCTGTATTGTTTCCTAGTTTTATTAAAGTTCCTTCCCATTAAAGTCTCCTATGTTTTGTGTTGATGCGGCAGATGGCAGAACCCATGTAGAATAGGCAGGTTTGCGGGGTTTGGGCTGCCCCTCTCCCTGTCCTATAACAAAGACTCAATCTCTTCCCCTCTACCTTCTGCTTGCAAGGTCCATGAACCCTCTGGCTGAATTTGGCAGAGCTGTCTTTCAACTTCAGTCATGATGTCGGCTTTGGTCTCTTCTTTCCAAAGGGAACAAATCATCTCCTCAGGGTCCTAGCTGCCGCGGACCAGCACAGCAGTAGACGATGAGGCCACCTCAGGGTTGAGAGAAGCGTGCAGGGTGGTCAGGGCATCGGTGAAAGAAATGACAAACAGACACACTTCAAGAGTGAAAATCTGAGTGTAATTTTCTTTGAGTTTGTGACCAATATATATATGTTTTCCAAAAGCACAGGGACAATGAATATCAATGAAATCAGCTTGCTCATGGGCTCAGTCTATCACCATCAGGGAGGTGATCTACATAACAAGCAATGACTTTTATAGAAGAAAGAAGGAAGTTTAGAAAGACAATAAGGGATTAAAGTTTGTCGTTCTAAAAAGAGGGGATAAGATTTTTAGCATTCTTGTAGTGGTTTCTGGTGGTCGTTATCTTTTGATAAGCTTTTGTCTTTTCAGGAAACTTCCGCTGTACTTCCTCTGCTTCAGGGTGTTATGCTGTTCTCCCCCTGCGCTCTGGTTGCCCAGCCGGACCTAGGGACCGTGGTGAAAGCCATTCCTAAAGGTCACTGCAGGGGGAGGTGCAGCAGGTATGTCTTCAGGGGGTTTTGCTGTTCTCCCCCTGCGTGCTGGTTGCCCAGCCGGACCTAGGGACGGTTAGCCCTAAAGGTCACTGCAGGGGGAGGTGCAGCAGGTCCCCCTTTGTTTTTAGAATGGAGCTGGAAGGCGTACATATGTCGTTGAAGACGATGAATGGACCTGTGAAGTAAGCGGACACAGAGGGGAAGGAGAAAACAAAGGAGTAGGGAAAGAACAATAAAGGAGAGAACAAGATGATACCAGTGAGTAGGAGTCAAAGATTGGAGAGTGGAAGCTAGAGAATGAGCAAAGGAGGAGAGTGAAGTGTGCAGATGAGACTTACTGATAGCAGAAATTTCAGCTTGGAGAGACGAAAGGTCATGAGAAAGGTCATTGTCTTGCCAGATGCCCAATAGGTGATGTTTGGTAAGATTCCAATGTAAGAGTTATAATGTAAAGGCGTAACACAAATGAAACGAAACGAAACTGAACATGGCAACGAGTAGACAGTTGTTGTTTGAGAAGTTGAACCTCATTGCCAATAGCAATAACAATTTGTGCTGCAGTGGCTGTAGATAGCTTCATAGTGCTGAGACTTAACCCCTTGCACCACCAGGGAGGCCCCCTTGGGCACTGGCTTTTAAGGAGTCTAAGTGTCTGAGAAATGGGTATGAGCCTGGAGCTAGATATCCTTGAGGGAGGCACACCCGGCGCAGTGACACAGGCTGACCGCCTGAGGGGGCACCAGCCCCACAACAGGGGTCAGGGGAGGGAGGAGAGACCCTTGGAAACCAATGTCAGGCTCTGGTTCTGAGGACCATGAACGTGAGAACAGAGCATCTTAGAAGACTGAGAACAAAGCCTCTCAGACGGTAGAACAAAAGCCCCTGCAATCGTGGACTGGTGAGCGCACAGCCTCACAGCATCTGGGAGACAAAAGACGCTCAGATTCTTTTCTGGCCGAATTAGAATCTTCCACCCAGGGTCTATCATTCCAGGATTTGGGGTATAACAGATCTTTGACTCTACAGATCGGCTACATCATTTGCGGGTCCCACTGCGAAATGAAAGCGCGAGGCGCTTTTGTTCAAAAACTGAGAACTTCAAAAAGTGACAGCAGAACCTTAAACCAAACACGGGGCATTTCTAAACCGACGGCCGGCGGGTGAAGGCCCAAGCAGCAGCATAACTGCACGTGGGGGGCGTCGGTCTTAGCGGGCCTGGCTCTCAAGTTTCACAGTCTGGGAAGACTTCGTGGAAGAGGAGGCAAAATAGGGCTCGACTCTTTCACGCCTTCCGCCCCCCGCGCAGCCTCAGAAGCTCAGGGTTTCCAGGGGTTTGGGAAGTGGAGCAACTGCCAAGCCGTCACGTGGACCCATCTCTATTTATAGCTCGCCCCTTCCCCTCCCGAGGGACAGCCCAATGGTAGCCAGAACGCGCCCTCAAGAGGGCGGAACCAGCCGCGACGGGGCGGCAGAGACCAACGACACCGGCGCAAGGGTGGGCTCGTTTCATTGTGACGCGAGGGAGGCGTGGCCAGGGCCCGCAGGCAAGCCGTTGGGGGGCGTGGCGAGGCCCGCCCTCCAGCGCAGCGAGTAGGCCGTTGCGAGCATGCGTCCCGTGGGGGGCGCGGGTGCTCCGCCGAATCGCGCCGTAAGGCCGGGTGCCCAATAGGCGACTGTTGCTCTGCCGCCGGGGGCGTGGCCATGCAGATAAGGCGCGGGTGGGCGGCCCAATGGGCGGGCGCCTATGCAGATGAGACGGTGACAGCCGGGCCAGCGGGCGGGCGGGCGGGCTGCTGGGGCGGGGAGGTGGGACCGGGAGAGGGGTGGCCGCGGGGCCCGGCCGGGCTGGGGCGGGGGGCCGCAGCCATGATCCGGGCCTTCTCGTTCCCGGTGAGCCCCGAGCGGGGCCGGCTGCGGGGCTGGCTGGAGGGCAGCCTGGCCGGGCTCTGCGAGTTGCACTGGCTCCGGGAGAGGCAGGAGTACCGCGTGCAGCAGGCGCTGCGGCTGGCCCAGCCCGGGATGGGGGGCGCGGAGGCCGAGGACGGGGAGGACGCCGAGGAGGACGAAGATGCGGCGGCCGCGCGCCGGGCCGCCGCGGCCCTGGAGGAGCAGCTGGTGAGGGGCCGCCTGTCCGTCCGTCCCTTCGCCCCCGTCTGTATCTGTCTGTCAGTCTGTCTGCCTTGTCTGTCTGGGCTGGAAGCTCAGACAACCGTCCTAGTGGGGGAGGGGGCGAGGGGGAGGGGTGGGGCTGGAGGCCTGGGAGTCTGGGCGGCGGGCGGGATCCGGCGAAGGGGGGGTGCATCGCCCCCGCCGAAGCCTCCCGAAAATCCCTTCCCCACAGAAAATCCTCCAGGCTCTAAGTACGTGTCAAGCCCTGGTTGAGTGCTTGGCTCGCGCGGTCCTCTCGCAGCCTGGGAGCTCGGGGGTGATACACCCCATTTTACAGAGAAAGAAACTGAGGCTCGGGGAGAGCAAGAGACTCACCCAAGGTCACACAGTCAGGGATCCACCATGCCCCCTCCAGGCCCATTCCCAGAGCTCCATCTTCCCTAAGTCCTGGCGTGCTTGGAGATCTCCGGAGGGGCGGGGTAGGGGTAGGGCATCTTGGGGCCTCCCAGGGGAGGGATCGCTGAAACTCTCAGTCCCTGAGGACCCCATGGTGATCTTGACCCTCGGGTGACCCTTCCCCCTTTTTCCTACGTGCCCCAGCCCTAGTTAAGCCAAGGGGAGGCAAGCCGAGTGGTATGGGGGTAGGCTCGGGGCTCCGTGGTGCTCTAATGGTGGAAGATGAGGCAGAGGTCTCCCGAATGACTTGAAGAGGCACCACCCCTCTCGCCCTATGTCACCCCTTAATTCTCCTGGCCTCCTCTTGGGTTTCTCGCGCCCTCTCCCTACCGCCTCATCTGTGACTTTCTGTGTGTGTCTTTCTCCTTGGTCTTCCCTCCTGGCATCTCTACACCTCTCTCCCTCTTCCTGCCCCACGTCCCTGGCCCTGGCGCTCTCTTCCCCTCCCCCCCAATCCGCCCGGGCCCACACCCCTGGTTCCACTAGCAGATCCCATCCCCAAGCCTGTGTGTGGTCAGAGCTTCCCGTTTGGGGAAACCTGAGCCGAGGGGGAGGGGGAGGGGGCGCTCCCTGCTGCTGACCTCGACTGCCCCCTCCCCAGATGGGGAACGGGGAGAGGGTCTGAAGCCAGACTCCGGGACTGCACGCCCAGCCCCTCCCCCGACCGGGAGTGGGACCCTGCACATTCTTCTCTGGAAACCGAAACAGCTGTGGGAGGCCCCACCCCCTCCAAAGTTAGAGGCGCATTGTGGGGGCCTTCACCAGCCCCCCCCCCCAGCTGGCTGGGCCTGGAAAGGCGCCTCCCATCTCTAGGAGGGGGAAGACACTCAGGGGAATGGGCAAGCTGTGTCCTTCCTCCCTGTGCCCCAGTCGCTCCCTCGCTCTTCCCTCCTCTCCCCCTCCCGACACCCCTCAGCTTCCCCATCTCTGCTCCTCAGTCTCCCCCTTCTCTGCCCCTCTGTTTGCCCTCCCCCACCCCAGCGCTCCGTTTCCCGCCCCTCACCCCCCATGAGGTGGTAGTGGATAGGCCTCTCCCCCCTACAGTCTCCAGGCAAAGCTCCGTCCCAGCGTCGGGAGGAGGCGGCGGTGGCAGGCAGCGGGAGGGAGACAGCGGCACCGAGGGAGGAGCGGAGAAGCGCTAAATATAAACTCCTCGGGTGTTGGGGGTTCCTGGGTCCTTCTGAAGAGGGGGTGGGGGCCTCCTCCGATCCCCGAGCCTCTGGTTCAGATGCCTTAAGGTGCTTACCCCTCCCACCTCCCCCCTCCCGTGCTGGCTTACACTCCCCTTTGAGCTAGGAAGACTGAAGGCAGACTTGATTGGTTTCTGATAGGTAGGAGAGGGGTGCAGGTTCAGAGTAGAGCAGTGTCAGAGAAAGGCTGCAAGAATCTTGGATGGGGATGGGGTCCTGTTCTCTCCCACCAAGGCAAAAGATCTCTTTCCAGCAAGAAGGACTTAAGTTAGACTTGCAGGAAGACGTGCTGACAGAGGCCAAGGGGCTTGGCAATGGGAGGAGGGGCGCTTGCCAAGAAAGGATGAGGGGCCTGGGGGGCAGACAGGGAACCCCATTCAGGCCAAGCTCCTTCTGGTCTTTTAAAGATTTATCCCTTTGCAGTCAGAAGGGATGAGGTAAGACTATTAAATAGAGATGGTGTAGATTGGGGGGGGCGGGTGTTGTGGGGTCCAGGCATGGGGAGGTGGGGGCCTCTTGTAGTCTGTCTTCTTACCTCCTGCTCTGCCTGCAGAGACGAACTGAGATTAGACCTGCAGACTTTACCCCACATCTACTCCTTTACATTTATTTTTAACCACCCGAGTAAAACCTGATTTCCTTTTACTTGTGAAAAATCCATAGTTTCCTTATAATAATAAGGCCAGTGTGTATTAAGTGTTTGAAAGGAACTGCCATTTCAACTCATCAGATGCTCGCAACAACCCCAAAGAGAGGGAGGTGTGTAGTGAGGAAACCACTTGAAGTCCAGAGAGGTGAAGTAACTGGCTCCAGGTCACACAGCTGGGCGGTGGCGAAACTGAATCCGAACCCTGGCGATTTGGCTCCAAGTCATGCCGCCTTAAACACTTCATTCTACCATCTTGTGCCCTCATCCCTCTCGACCCCCTAAATGCACCCTCTTCCCTGAGATCACCACCCCAGGCACCTGTTGGAGACCCTTCAGACCTCTTCCAATGCTTCTACTCACAGAAAACTCAAAGAAGTTATTTTTGCTTTGCTTTTTTTTTTACAAATTCCAGCCTCTGAGGGGTGGTCCCAGAGCCTGCCTGTGGTTCCCAAAGTGTGGCCTAGCGGCACAACCGGGGAACTTACTATCGATAGAAGTGCAAGTTCTTGGGCTCCAGACTGGATCAGAAACTCTGGCTGCAGGGAGCCCCCAACCATTTTGCTCTAACAGGCTCTCCAGGTGATTGGAAGTCACCCTCTGACTCTCCATTCTGCTCCTCTCTTCCGCTACATGCTGTATCTGGCTGACACTTCTATAGAGACATTCATTCCATCGGAACGCTGTACAATATTCTGTGGTGTAGACAGCCCTGGGTGGTTACAGACTTTTGGGCCAGCACAGACCACATTTACGATGGTGGCCCCCAGAGCTGCCCTCCAGCCAGGTGTGCAGGAGGCGCCCCACCTAGGTGTGTACGATTACACTCCTTGACGTCCACACAGCACCACTTAACCACTCGTTCCTCGTCCCCCCATCATTGCATGAGCACCTACTTTGTGCCAAGCACAAAGTAGGGTGAGTGGGGTGACTGCTGTAGTGAAGAAAAACCTCTGACCTCCTGGGTTGACAATCTACTGAGAGAGACGGTCAGCAGCGCCTATATATAACCTCAAGCCAGGTCTTTACTGCTCTGAGGGGTGAAGTGGAGCAGAGGGGCAGAGGATGGGGGTGGGGGGGTCTCTTGGAAAGAGTGGTCAGGGGCGAAGTCTCCTAAGCAAAGATGTGAATGAAGCCAGGGAGTGAGCCAGGAGAATGTTGGGGGGCCCATCCCCACAGCCTGAGGGGCCTGTCCAGGGGACACAGCGGATGCCAGGGTGGCTAGAACAGTGTGCGCAGGGGGCGCTCTGGGGGGGACACGGCGGAGTGCAGCAGTGCCCCTGACTCCCTGTAGCCACTCCGATGCTGCCCAGCCAGCTGCTTTCCTGGGAGCTGCTCCAAGTGGACGCCACCCCGAGCATCTCTGCGCCCCAGGGCAGGAGCCCAAAGTGGGAGAGAGTGGAAAGATTTGTTGACTTTCCTCCCATAAACAAGCCCAGATGGGGGCTGCTTCTGGTGTGGGGGAGGGGCGGGAAGTAGGGGCCCGAGTGAGCAGCCGCAGGAGCCCAGGATCGGAAGCTGGGGGTGGGGGGTGTCTGCGGGGGAGCTGGCTGGTCTTTCTGCCCTAAATAGGCAGGGCCGGGCGCCGGCCCTCCAGGCCCCTCCTCCTCCCCCTCCCTCCTGCGGTCCAGACAAGCCGCTTTTGTCTGAGGGTCAACCGTCAGCCCGAGGCTGCTGCCACCTCTGGCCTCGCCGAGACCCTTGTGAGACTCTTCTTGGCTCTGACCTTGTTTTCCCGAACGGGGTTAAGTCCTAGAGTCTTGGAGACCCCCTCTGTGCTGTTTCCGCCTGGTCACTATCACCCCCTTAAAGGCGTTTTCCCCTTCGTTTATTCACACCTGATAAGGAGTGGGTCCTGCAGCAAGAAGGAGCAGGGTAGACTCAAGAGGAACTTGCGTGGGCATGAGAGGTGGTGACAGCACTGGGGGCTTCTGGGAGGGAACGCTCGGAAGGAAGGGCTGGGCCCACTGCTGCAGTTCCACTCGGGCTAGACTCAGGAGGGACTTTGCCGCAGGCAAGGGAGCGGCTGCTGCGCTTAGGAGCAAAGGGTTTTTATGAGTCGTGGTTTGCCTCTCTTACCCATTTCAGGGTGTCAGCAGTCGGGGGGACGTAAAGGCTTGCCAAAGTACTTTCTCCTGGTGATAAGGGGTGGTGGGGAAGACAGGAGCATCTGAGAAGGGAATGTCAAGGCCAAGCCAGGTCCTGGACACCAAGCAGAGAACTGCCTGATAGAAGACGTGAAGTTAGATCAGAGAGGGACGTTTATGGGGCTTAAGGGGCCATGGGCACAGATGGAGGGCACAGCTGGTGGGGAGGGGACAAGGGATCGGACATTCTGAGCCCCAAAGGAAACGAGGTGGTTGCAGCGTGAGTAACCAGAAAGCCTGACTAATGGGGGACGAAGGGACAAAAATCTTACGAGAGATCCTGGGACTCAGGTTCTGCTTTTGAAGTCTGAGCATCACCGTCAAGGTGAAACTCTGCCCATGAGTTCCTGGAATAGGGGACCAGCGGGCAGAGGACTGGGGGGGCCTTCTGACCAGCCTGCTCTCCCCATGCCCTCAGGAGGCCTTGCCCGGGCTCATCTGGGATCTGGGCCAGCAGCTGGGAGACCTGAGCCTGGAGTCTGGGGGCCTGGAACAGGAGAGCGGGCGCAGCTCGGGTGAGCACGGGGAGAGGGAGCGGGGTCTCCTCGGACACCTCAATCTCCCTCCCTATCCCCCATCTCTTGGGCTCCCCTGTTTCTACCTCTTGTTCTCCTCCTTTCCCCATCCCCCCATTCCCCAGCCAGCCTCCCTGAATGTCACCCCCCTTCTCCCTGGAACGCAGGCTTCTATGAAGACCCCAGCTCCACGGGAGGCCCAGACTCACCACCCTCGACCTTCTGTGGGGACAGTGGCTTCTCCGGATCTGGCTCCTATGGACGCCTGGGTCCCTCTGAACCCCGGGGCATCTATGCGAGCGAGAGGCCCAAGTCCCTAGGTAAGGTGGGTGGGGCTGGGGCCCTGAGAGCCAGAAAATGGACACTAAGAGGATGCTTTTGAGACCTTCTTGGATTTGAATCCTGGCCGTGACAGTCCCTTTCCGTGTGACTCGAGCACGCGTCTTCTTTCTGGGCCTCTGTTTCTCCAGCAGTTAAAATGGGATCAGCCTCAGCATCCAGCTCACAGGGGAGCTCTGAGCTGGTGGCAGACCACTGCCCTAGGGCATTGGACTTGGCCCCTGCCAGAGCTCAGGAAGCAGGAGCTGCTGTTCCTTGTACAAGTCAATTCAGAGCCCCTGCTCCACCCTGCCCTGGCACTCACTATCCTGGGAGTGAGAGGCACAGCATGAACACATTCCTGTCCTCATGGAGTTGACATTCCAGTGGGAGACTTAGTTAATTACAGAGTAAAAAAGTTCAATATGTAGGGCATTAGATACATGTAGGATGAAAAGCTAGGAACAGGACTAGGGTGTGTGCCTTGGAATGGGGGACATAATTGCAATTTTAGAAACTATGGCAAGGAGGGAGGGTATTACTGAGACTGTGATATTTGAGTGGCTTCCCAAAGTAAGGTAGTGGGCCAAGCTGCTCTCCTAAGAGAGGAACTGTCCAGGCAGCAGGAATAGCAAGTGCAAAGGCCCTGAGGCCACAGCCTCCTAGTGTGTGCATCCAGGGGGCCAATAAATACAGAAGAGAGAGGTTAGAGACAGTAGGGAGAGGCAGGGCAGATCCCTCGTGGTCTTGTGAAGATTTTGTTATGAACCTCAAGTGAGGTAAGGGATAAGGGGGGGGGCTTGATGGGGGTAGGGGTGTGTGTGTGTGTGAGAGAGAGAGGGAGATGGAACCTGACCCTGCTAGGCTCACTGAGAAAGCGCTTTGAGGGCCTCTCCACTCTCTCTCCGTTTTTGCCTCCTCCTCTAGGAGACGCCAGTCCCAGCGCACCCGAGGCGGTGAGCACTAGAGCAGCGGTGCCTCGGTCCTTCTCCGCGCCCTACCCGACGGCTGCGGGGTCTGCAGGCCCCGAGGCCTGCTCCTCGGCTGAGCGGCGAGCCCGCGCGGGCCCCTTCCTGACGCCCAGCCCCCTGCACGCGGTGGCCCTGCGCAGCCCGAGGCCCTGCAGCCGCCCTCCCGCGGACTCGACGGAGGCACCCGGCGCGGGGCGGCCCCTGGACGGCTACATCTCGGCGCTCCTGCGCAGGCGCCGCCGCCGGGGGGCGGGCCAGCCCCGGACCAGCCCGGGGGGCGCGGATGGGGGCCCGCGGCGCCAGAACAGCGTGCGCCAGCGGCCCCCCGACGCGTCCCCGCCCCCCGGAGGCGCGCGGCCCGCGCCGGAGCTCCCGGTGGAGCGCGCAGTGGGCCGTCCCGCCAGCCCGGCCGCCTTGGGCCGCGCCTGGGCCTCGCAGTGGGAGTCGGAGGCGGCCCCCGAGCCCCCCGCGCCGCCCGCGGCCCCCGAGCCCCCCGACAGCCCCGCCGAGGGCCGCTTGGTGAAGGCGCAGTACATCCCGGGCGCGCAGGCCGCCACCCGAGGCCTCCCGGGCCGCGCGGCGCGCCGCAAAGCGCCGCCCCTGACCCGCGGCCGCAGCGTGGAGCAGTCCCCGCCCCGGGAGCGCCCCCGGGCCGCGGGCCGCCGCGGACGCGTGACGGAGGCCTCGGGCCGCCGGGGCTCGCCCAGGGCGCGCAAGGCCGCCCGCTCCCAGTCCGAGACCAGCTTGTTGGGCCGAGCGGCCGCCGCGGTCCCTCCGGGGCCCCCCAAGTACCCCACCGCCGAGCGCGAGGAGCCTCGGCCTCCGCGGCCGCGCCGCGGCCCCGCGCCCACGCTCGCGGCTCAGGCGGCGGGGTCCTGCCGCCGCTGGCGCTCCACGGCCGAGATCGACGCCTCGGACGGGCGCCGCGGCCGGCCCCGCGCCCCCTCCGCGCGAGGCCCGGGGCCCGGCCCGTCCCCGTCGGCTCCGCAGCGCCGGCTGCTCTACGGCTGCGCCGGCAGCGACTCCGAGTGCTCGACCGGGCGCCTGGGGCCGCTGGGACGCCGGGGCCCCGGCGGCGGCGTCGCGGGCGGCTACGGGGAGAGCGAATCGAGCGCCAGCGAGGGGGAGTCGCCCGCCTTCAGCTCCGCATCCAGCGACTCAGACGGCAGCGGCGGCCTGGTGTGGCCCCAGCAGCTGGTGGCGGCCACGGCGGCCTCGGGCCCAGCGGGCGGGGCGGGTGGAGGGGCGCCCGCGGGCCCCGCGAAAGTCTTTGTGAAGATCAAAGCGTCCCACGCGCTCAAGAAAAAGATTCTACGTTTCCGTTCGGGGTCTCTCAAGGTCATGACCACGGTGTGAGTTGGGGGTTTGCTTGGGCTTCCCCTTCATAGCCTCTGCACCACCACACTCCCAGTCACTGAGCCTCCACGCCTCCCTTCCAAAGACCTCCGTTTTCTCTGTTTCCAAAGACCTTTCCTCACTCCGCCCATCCACATAGTCTTGGTTGAAAAGGCGCCCCCCCACCACAGGCAGGAATGGGGAAGAAGCCCGGGTTGACCCAGTTCAGCTGCTGGCTCTGCAGCCGCTGGGCCATAAAATTCCCTTTCTGTGGGCCTCACTTTCCTCATCTGTACTATGGGTGTTCTATGGTATGCAGAAGGGGTAATTCAGCTCGAATTTCCCCATTTTAGTTTAGACACTTAGACTGTTGCCCTTCACCTCTCTCACCGAGGCCTATTATTCCTCCTGCCCATGCCAGATATGCCCCCCTCATTCACAAAGTGCCCCCCTACACATCCCTAGATCCCTAGGATATCCCCTTGGCACCCAGGTTGGAGACTCTGTCTGATCCAGATGGTGCCTGCACAGTGCCCTGGGAAGGGAAGGAGCCCTGACTTTAGGGTTTTGAGGGTCAAGTAGGAGTTGGTAACACCAGAAAAGACTCTTTCACCTCTGTCCCTGGACAATTATGGAGGATTAGGAGGTCAAAGAGGGGAAGGGAGATGGCTTCTATCTCGTGGCTCCTCCTGCAAGAGAGAGTTCAGGAGGAGCCCAGGATGACCCTCAGCTGTTCCAATCCAGTCTTTTCTTTTTTTAAATTAGTGTATTTATTATGACGATGATGACTCCCTGGTGCACAGGGGAGCCAGATTCTGTGTGTTTCTCTAACCTCTTTGTAAATAAATGCACAATGTTAACATGTGGCAGATTCTCCTCCTGTAGTAAAACGGGGAAAATACTTTTGCTTTGGCTCAAGCTTTATTGAGCAACTACTGATTGCTTTGGTTATAGCAGTGTCCAGAACCAGACGGCAGATCCCAGGGTGGGTCTCAATATCATTTCCCTACCAGTGGCTATTTTACTTTAATGACTCTGACCTGTGGTGATGTTTCAATGGTCATTAAATATTGCTTCATATAAATGGAAACAATATAGGTAAAGGGAGTGCCCCTAAATCCCCTCTCTCAGAAGTCATCATAATGATCCTTGCATGCTTTGCTTTCTGTGTTTGCACATATATATGGCACTATCAGTATACATGTGCATACACATATAGTGACACTCTGTATGTAAAACTATACATAAATTCAGCTACATGTATGCGTTGTTTATCAATTTTTGTTTCTGTGGTTAAGTCATCTGTGCCAGGAGATTTCTTTAGGGGAAGGATGTTAATTAAGAATTTAATTTCTTTGATGATTACAGTACTACTTAGCTTTTCAATTTCTTCCTGTGTCAGTTTTGCTAAGTAGTATTCATCTAGGAGCCTGCCCTTTTCTTCTAAATTTAGATGACATTTTCCTATCACTATATTATTGTTCATGGCTATAATCCACTGTGGGGATCCCCATAATCTAGCTTTTTCTGGTCAGCTCTTCAGTCTGCAGTTATGTGCCTTGCTGCAGTAATGTCCTGTGCTTGCCTCATTGTGTATATGTGTATGTATTTGTGTAAGATCTGCTCCTAGAAATCGAACTGCTTGGTCAGGTCATAACATGCTCGTTTTAAAATGTTCAGTGAGCACTGCCACATTTCCTTCTGCTAAGTCTCAACTGACATTTCCAACAGCAATTTTTGAGATGTCTGTCTTTCCACCCCTTTCCCAAACAGATGTTATTAATCATTTTCATTTTGCTGACCGGCCAACTTGTATTTATTCTGTGAATTGCCTGTTCTCGCCCTTTCCCCATTTTTCTACTGGGTAAACCCAGTAATTGTAGTAACTTCATGGGTGGGTAAATAGAAGCTCAGAGAGGGGCCTTTACTAGCTCTAGTCACACAGCATGAGGGAGCCAGGACTCAGACCCAGCACCCACCTGACTCTACAATCTGAAGAACTGGTATTTTTGGCTACTTTGGTCCACCTCTCTGTCCCCGTGAACTCTGAGGGGGCAGAGAAACATGGCTGCTGTGTTTTCCTGTCTCTCCAGCACCTAGTCAGGTCCTGGGGAAACAGCAAGGAACAGAGAGAAAAAAGCTCCTTGAAAGTGTGTGTGTGTGTGCATAAATATATACAGTTGAAATACAGTCGACCCTTGAGGGATAAGGGTGGGGTGGGGTGAGGGGTAATAAAAGGGGTGTCCACCCCTTAGTGGTGAAAAAATCTTAATATAATTTTTTTCTTAATATAATTTTTGACTCCTCAAAATTTGAGGTACAGTCAGTCCCTTGGTATCCACGGGGGATTGGTGTCAGGACATGCGGGTTACCAAAGTCCCTGGATGCTCAAGTCCCTCAGAGTTGGCCCTCTGGATCTACAGAGGGTTCCACACGGGATTCAAACCAACCACACCAGATTTAAATAGACCAGCCTCGAGTAAGTGGATCCATGCTGTTCTAGAGAAGCTGCGTTTCCTTTGGAGTAACAATAAATGCAAGGTAGTTTTTCAAGTTTGCCAGGAGAGGCCATTAGTTGGCAGGCCCTTGGGAATGTTTACCCCTCTCCATTCAAGAAAAGAGACAACTGAGAGACAACTGAAGCCAGAAAGATGAAGTGACCGTTGTCACTGAAAATGGCCAAAAAGGTTGAAGTGTGTGTGGAGGACTTCCCCTCCATAAGCTGTTAGTGCCTGCTGGGGATGTTTCAATCTGTGGTCATTTGTGACCAGCTTCTTTCACTTAGAAGTGTGTGTTTTCAGTGTTCATAAATGTTGTAGCTATGTCAAAATTTCATTTTTTTTTATGCGTACAAGAACGGGGGTACAGGCCAGAGGTGCAGAGGGTGAAAGGATTCACCAGAGACAGAGTGGGAGCAGAACAGGCAGATCGACTAAAATACACTGCTGAGGGGAGCAGTGGGTGAATCAGGAGAGGTCTGCTGTGCCTTGTGGGTAGCTCCTTGGCCAGGGATTGAACTTGTGCTGCAGAGGCTGCTGATAGCTTCATAGTGCTGTGCTTAACCCCTTGCGCCACCAGGGAGGCCCAAAACTTCATTTCTTTTTATGGTCAAATGATAACCCATTGTCTGTGGAGACCATAGTTAGTTTCTCCCATCAGCTGATGAACATGGGTGTTGTTTTCACAATGGATCTATTTGAATAATGCTGCTAAGAACATTTGCACATTGGTCTACACGTTTCTGCGTGGACATGGGTTTTCTTTGCCTAGGTAGATAACCTGGCAGTGGAATTGCTGGGTCAGAAGGTAACTCCTTAACTTTGTGAGAAGTGCCAGTGTTTTCTAAAATGGCTGCACCCACCAGTGGGGTAGGAGGGTGCCAGTTTCTCCACATCCTCACAAGCATGTGCTTTTGCCTGGGGACTGCCTTTCAGACAGGGCCCTGCTGGCTGCTGTGTGGGGCACAGGTTGAGGGAGACGTGATAAAGCAGGGCTGTCAGCGGTGTGCCCTGGAGCAGGCAACAGCAGTTGGGAGAAAAGGCTGGATTGGGGAGAGACTTTGAAATTGTGGTAGTGGGAGTCGTTAGATCAGTTGTGGGGGGGGGGAGTCAAGAAAGACCTCAAAGATTTGCCACCAACCGAGGTGGCTAAGACAGTAGTAAGAGTGGCTCTGGCAGGTGGAATCAGGAGCTTAGTTTGGGGGGCACTGAGTTTGAGGTACCTGGAAACATCTAGGTGGGACGTCATCGGGTATTCCTGTCGAGGACGACTGTGGGGGTGCATTGCCCATTTCTTGAATAGGAATAGCTGGATTGATCCCGAAGTCAGGGTCTCAGTTTCCCCCTCCAAAAAAAGGGGACAATAAGCACTGACTAGGAGGTTGCCATGAGGCTGGGACGATCTCTGCGGTACAGGGCAGGATCTCACACCTGGAAACGAAGGACATGCGTAGGACGAAAAGAAGACTTAAGTCTGCAGCTCAGGAGAGGAATGGAGGTCACGCTCAGTTCAGGCGGCCCGTCCGTCCGTCCCCCGCCCCGAACCTCTGGCCCGCAGTCGGAGAAGGGGAGGGGAGATTGGGTCATCTCCCCGCTCCCCCCAGCTCGAAGCTGGGTTTGCTCCTGCTGATCGAGGCCGGTTGCGGGAGACACCAAGGCTCCGCGCACGCCCAGGCCCCTCCCCGGCGCCGGCGGACCCCACTAAGGAGGGGCACGGGGGCGCCCTGGCTCCCTTCCCCCCTTCCGCAGCCGGGCCCGGGGCCTTGGCATGTCCGGCGCGCCTGATGCTTTCCAGATGTGAGCCTGATTCTCCTCCCCCACCTGGCCCCCCAGCTCCCGCGGGTAAGGGGTGGGGGGTGGGGAGCCAGGGTCCGAGGCCGCCCCCATCACTTCGCTTCCAAGAACCTGGGCGTGCGTCCCCGCCCCACCCGTCTCGTTTCCCGGTGCAGGCCATAAACACCGAGTTGGGATAGGCTGACTGCGGTAGAGACAGCCTCCCCTCCCCTCCACCTCTTCCAGCGCCCCCGCCTCCGCCCGCCCCCGGAGGTCCTGGGTGGCCTGCTCGGGACCGAGCCCCAAACCCGCCCTCGGGCCACGCCCCTCAGGCCACGCCCCACGCGCGCCACGCCCCTAGCAACCGTCTCCACGCCCCTGCGCGCCCCGCCTCCCGGCCTGGCCCGGGTGGAAGGCGCGGTCCGGTGTCCGCCTCCGCCCGCCTGGGTCTCGTCTCGGGGTCTGCGTCTCTCGGCCGCCGTCTCTGACTTTCTGCCTGCGCGTCCCTCCCGCGCGTCCTTGCCTCTGTTCCGCCCTGCACCCCTCTCCTGTCTCTTCGTCCCTGGATTTCTCACCCCCATTATGTCTCTGTGCCCCTGTCTCTCCCCGCATCTCTCCACCCGTCTCTCCCAACAGCTTTGTGATCCGGTCCGTGTTCGGTTCTCTCCCGCCGGCTCCCGGGCGGCCCGCGGGGCCGCGCTGCCCTCCCTGGTGGCGCCTCCTCCCCGGCTCTGCGGGCCGCGGGCGCCCCCGTGTGGCAGGCTGGGGCTGCGGGGGAGAGCAGAGGCCTGAGCGCGCCCCAAGGACTGTGGGTGTCCTTGGGTGCCAGGGGGCTGTGGAGGTGACATGTGACACGATAAGGTTGTGTGAGTGCATACAACTGTGGGAAGGTGTGTGGCCAAAACGAAATTCTGTGCGACAAGCAGGGGTTGGGTGTGACTGTGAGATCCTGTCAGGAGGAGAGTTTGTGCGCGACGGTGCCTGTGAGGTCGGAGACACCCGTGGCGGCCTGTGTGACGCTGAGGCTGCAGGTGCCTGAGCTGCCACTGGGGGTACTGCCTGTGGCATCGAGAGGCCGTATGTGAGAGCGAGAGATTAGTGTGACAGCGTGTAACATGGCGTGGACACAAGCACTGTATGTGCCACACGGAGGACGGTGTGGGAGAGTGGGAGACGGGGTGATTCACCGAGAGATGGCGTGAGAAGGCAGCGCAGCTGAGAGGCCCAGGGGGACAGGGCATGACAGAGAGACCATGTGAGTTCAGCCACACTGGAGAACCGTGAGAAGCTGTGTGTGACTGTGTGTGATGGGATCCTGTGGGAGACTGACATTGTCAGAGTGTGTGACTCCTGTGTGTGAGGAGACTGCATGAGGCTCAGGGAAACAGTGTGCGTGAGTGTGTGTGTGTTTGTGGGACACATGGGATTCTGGAGATTGCTGACTCATCATGTGTGACTATGTGTGATACCAAGGGATGGTGTGTGGGGGGGGAGGCAGGGACAGACCCAGTTCAAGTGAGGTTGTGCAAGAATGTGTGTGCCTGTGTGTGTGAGTCACTGGGTATGTGACTTGTGTTCCTGTATCCTGCTCTGAAATACTGTGTTACAGTGCTGGACAAAGAGGCTGTCCAGGAATGTCACTCTGTGGGACGCTGGCAAGTGTGTGTGTGAGACAGAGAGAAGTTGACCTTGTTCATGAATGTGTGTGACATCTTGAGAGACTGACACAGTGCAAAACGGTGTTTGTCCCCTTGACACCCTGCGATGGTCTCTCCAGCTGTGCGCGAGGCCATGCTGTGAGGACAAGGGACTGTGTGTGGCATTTCCAGAGGCCACGTGACTGGCGCAGCGGGAGTGTTGAGTGCACGGTGTTCACAAGGTGTGTGGCAACACCGTGTGACACAGCCGGACACTGTGTGTTTCTGTGTGAGGACTGAGCAGGGTCATCTGTGCTGAGGGGACACAGTGGCGCTGACAGGGTGGAAAAGGGTGTGATGGAGTGAGAGGTGGTGGGGGACACGGAGGAGGCTGTGTGACTGGAATAAAGGCAGTGGGTGTGGGCACACCTGGAGAGACTGTCCTTTCCTGCCCGTGGGAGAGAGACACACAGAGAGATCTGGGAGAGAGCTAGAGGGGAGGAGAGACACAGAGCCAGAGCAGTGAAGAGAAGGGATCAAGGCCCAGAAACAGACACCTGGGGGGATGGCCAGAGCAGTGGGGAGAGGACCCAGGGAGGCAGCCCCAGCAGGCCAGGGCAGTGGGGAGGGTGGTGGCAGCGGCAGGAGGAGGCGGGTCCGCAGGGGCTGAGCCCCAGGGGAGGGGGCGGGGCTTGGGGGGACCCAGATGCTGCCTCCCAGCCTCTGCCACCCTCCTGCCATCCCAGCCCAGACAGCAACAGGTAGGAAGCTTCGGTCCTGGCCTTAACTGCTTTTTCCCCTGCCCGCTTGCCCTGAGTCTGCCTGCCTGGGAGGGAGGGAGTGAGGGAGTGAGTGACTTTGTACTGCCATCGGCCAGTCTCACCCTGGCCGGCCATTTGCCCTCCTTTGCCACCCCATCTCTCCCTCAGGCCCTCCATCTCCCTCTCTGTCTGTCCCTGTTCCCGCAACTCTCCTCTGTCCCTTTCTCCCCTCAACGCCCCCTCCCCTCCATCACGGTCGGTCCCTTCCTCTGTCCCCCTCTGTCCCTCCCCATGCTCTCCCACCCCATTGCTGCGCCCTCCCCCCTCCCCCTCCCCACTGCCCCATGCCCCTCCACACTCCTCTCATGGGTCAATTCCCCATCACTTTATTCTCCCCAATCATTCTCTCCTTCTTCAGTCTCATTCACTGACCCCCTCCTGTGCCTCAGTCTCCTCCTGCCCCTCCCTCTGTCCCTTTCTCCATCCTCTCTACCTCACTACCCCTTTTGCAGTCTTGACTGGGTTCCCCCCCTCTGGCTGCTAATGAGCATAGGAGCCTTTGAGGTGGCCAGGGCTGGGGTAGGGGCTCCCGGAGGGAGGTAGAGGGGGCAGCTGCTGCCAAGGCCCTAATGAGGCCCCCTCTGCGCCCCTCCCGCAGCGATCTTAATTCCTTGTTCTCCCCAGAGCCGCCACTAATTGGCCGGGGAGGGCCCCCTCCTGGTGCATGCTCTTTCCCAGGGGTGGGGGGGCAAGGACACCTGGATCCTTCCAGCACCTGTGGTCCTGTCCTCTGCCCCTCCCTCCACCTGCCTGGCAGTCCCCCATCTGTGCTTCCTTCCCCCTCCCCTCCTCCCTCTCCTCCCTCCCCCTACCTGGAGGTACCCCATCTGTGCACCCTTCCATTCCTGCTCTTACCCTTTCCTCTGTTCATCTGTCCCTGCTTTGGCTGCTTCTTGGTCCCCCCTCTGTGCGACTCTTCATCCCTCCCTTTTCCTGCTGTTTTCCTGGCCCCCTCTCCACCTGACTCTGGGCACCCCATTCTTGCACCCTTTCACCAACGTTACTGGGTCCCGACACCACCCTGTTACCGGGCCCATCACGACCACCGCCTCTACCTGAGGACCCAGATTTGCCCTGGCCTATCCCCTAGGCCCATACTCCGGTCCAGCTTTTAACCCCTTCACGGCCGCAGGCATGTCCAACAACATGGCCAAGATCGCCGAGGCCCGAAAGACGGTGGAACAGCTGAAGCTGGAGGTGAACATCGACCGCATGAAGGTGCCAGGTCGGGGTGGGGAGGAAAGCGGGGTCTTCGGGGCCGCGCCCTGCATGGGGTTGGGCTCGGATCTGAGCCGTCGTGGGAAGATCCCGTCGGGGGCCTCCCCTGGTGGCGCAGCGGTTGAGCTCTGGGCTGCGAGGCCGCCCGCAGCCCCTGCAGCGCCGGTTCGTTCCCCGGCCGCCGGTGAGGGTCCCACCAAAAAAAAAAAAAAAAGATCCAGTCGGAACAGGACTGGACCCCGGGAGGAACCCACGGCTGGACCGGCCTCTCACCGGCGTCCCTGATTGATAAGGGGCGGGACCACACAGGGGCGGGGCCCAGGGACGGGGCCGGGTGAGGGGCGGGGCCGGGTGAGGGGCGGGACCCAGGAGCCGGCGAGGGGCGGGCCCGACGGGGCGGGGCCTGGAAGTGGGCGGGGCCTGGAGCGGGGCGGAGCATGGGCAGCTCCACCTCTCCGGCGCAGGTGTCACAGGCCGCAGCTGAACTCCTGGCCTTCTGCGAATCGCATGCCAAAGACGACCCGCTGGTGACGCCGGTGCCCGCCGCAGAGAACCCCTTCCGTGACAAACGCCTCTTTTGTGTCCTGCTCTGAGTCCTTCGGACAGTTTACCCTCCCCCCGCCAAAGTAAGAACCCAATAAATGTGACTGTGGTGGTGGCTGTACTTTCGGGGAGACTGAGTCAGACGCAGAGCTTGGGGCCAGTGTGGGGGAACCTGTGTGCCGTCACATACTTTCTGAGTGTGCATGGAGTCGGGGGTGGGGAGGGGGTGAAGATAGATGGGTTCGTGGGCACGTTGGAGGCTGGGAGGAAATGAATGCTCCTGACTGATCACTGCTGAGGGCTCCCTGAAGGATGGGAAACTGATCAGAAGTCGTCCTTTACTGAAAGTCACACAGTTAGGAGGTAATGGGGTGAAGTCTGAGGACTGCGGTGCCCTCTGCATCCATCAGACTGGCCTTTCTCCTCTCTTCCCCTCTCCTGAGTGGGGGTTTCTTAGGAACCCCAGTGCAGTTCACCCTTCTCAACCCTGAATGACTCCACTTGCTTTCTGCAAATCTGGCTAGTCCCCTTCCCCCCTCACAGGCCTTACTCCTTGTCCTTAAGCTCAGAACGCTATTCATCTCCCCTTTCATTCACTTGTTCTTCCAAGCACTCCCTGACTGCTCACTCTGTGATGGGCCCTGCACTGGGTAAACCTGGGACTTGGCTGTGACCAAGACAGTCTCAGCCCTGCCCCCCTGGGGCTCAGAATCCGGTGGGAGATGCAGACCTGCCCCCAGACAGTGATGACCCAATGTGGGCAAGACTGAGTCAGGGAGCCCGGAGGGAGCATCTGACTCAACCTGGGAGGAGGGGCATCCAGAAGGAAGGAACACCCGAGGGGGACATGGTGGTAATTAAACTCAGGGACCTGGGAAGAGAAAAGCTGGAAAGGGAGAGGAGACAAATTTAAGTGTACACTCTTCTCTTTGACAATTATTTCTGTGCTCTAGGGACACAGGGGTGGCTCTTACAGGCCTGATTCCCACAGGACAGATACACTCTATACTGACAGCCGAGTTAATGTTTGAAATGTTTTTTTTAAAAGATTTATTTTATTTCTTTATGCATACAAGAGCAGGGTGCAGGCCAAAGGTGCGGGTAGGAGAGGAACGAGGCGGGTGAGAGGATTCACCAGAGACAGAGTGGGGAGCAGAACAGGCAGATCTACTGAAATACACTGCTGAGGGGAGCAGTGGGCGAGACCGGAGAGGTCTGCTGTGCCATGTGGGTCACCTCCCTGGCTGGGGATCGAACTCATGCTGCACTGGCTGCGGGTAGCTTCATAGAGCTGCGTCTTAATCCCTTTTGCCACCAGGGAGGCACTGGTTAATTATTTCTGCTGGTTGGCCGGAGGGCCAGTGTGTGACCCTCTCCCCTCTCCTCAATCTCCATTTGTGCTACCCAGTTTGGTTACTGAGGGGTTGGACCCCAGGATCTGGATGGAGACTGCTTAGCTCACTCACAGCCTCAGAGAGGGGCTGTTCACACGTCTGGCAAGTGCTGCATTATTCACATTGGATTAGGGTCCCCAGGGCCCCAATTCTGAGCTTCCTGGTGGATTGAGGCAGAAGCGGCTGTAATTACATCTCCCTCCTGCCTCCCACCTCTCAGCGGCTCCGGTCTGGTTGCATCATGTCTGGGGGAGCCCCAGGGGAGATAGGGGACAGAGCAAGCCAAGGATGATCTGGAGGGGGAGGTAGAGGGAGGAGATATACAGGGAGAGAAGTTGCCAGAAGAACTGCAGAATTTTTCAGATCCAGCATCTTTGCAGCTCAGAATCTGAAATGAGAAGGAATCTAGAATCCCAGGACCCAGAGTTCTGGAATTCTGGAGACCTTAGATCTTGGGGGGCCAGGATGCTGGGGACCAGTATGCTGGAGTCTTGCCCTCCCTTTTCCCACTACACTGCCAGAGCTCAGCACCTCAGGAGTGTATGGAGTTCTTTAAGCTGCACTGTTGGAATTTGGATCCTTCCAGACCTGGGATCTCGGAACTATGCTATGCGGATCCTTCGTCCTTTGAATTCTAGTGCCTGAACATGGAAACTAGTGTGCTGGCTGAGCTGGTGGGGAAGAAAGCAGGCGGTGGAGATGGCTGCCAGGAGATGGCTGCCATGTTCGCTGGGCCCCCAATAACCCATTCAGGAGGGGCAGGGTGAGCCTGCACCCAGATATTGAGGCTGGCAAGGAAAAGCCAGAAAAGACATGGCAGGTCCTGGTGATCAGTCTCTGGGCGTGCAAGCCTGGGTAATCTCGTTAGCTGGTTTCACTCTGCAGCAAGAGCTTCTGGTTACTGGCTGCTCTTTCCTGCCACCTGCAGCTATGAGGTCAGCTTTGGGGTAAGGGGTCAAAGTCAGGTCAAGAGGCAAAAACATAAAGTCCTGGATAAGTGCTTGTTCCCCACTGTGTCCTCTCACTCAACCCCAAACCTCTGCCCCATCCAACTTCCTGCCCTCTGCTCAGAGCCGTGCTGAACAGGCCAGGGCCTGGGGTAGCCACAGCCATCACTTACTGGGCGTCTTCTTTCACAGACCCCAGCTCACTTAACTTTCACATAACCCCCAAAGGGACTCGGTTCCCCCTCATTTGGGGCGTCCCCAATTGGGGCTTGAGGTTGGAGTTGGAGGAGTCGATGGATAACTGCTCAGGAGAGAATGGAGGTGTTTAGGGGGAACTTGAAAGTGGCAGTGAGGGTGTCCAGGCCGGGGCAGCGCAGGGTGCAGGAGCGGGGTCGGAAGCATTGACTGGTTGGTTGACAAGGGCCACTCTGAGTGGAGAAAAGGGTAGTGGGCCGAGAAAAATGGTTTCTGGCTGCACATGTGGGCACCTGCAAGGCAGTATCATTCGGGACTGACACAGCAGCTCTGGCAGCAGTGAGGGGGCACAGGCAGACGGGCAGGCGTGCGCACACACGTGCAGTACATTGAGGTGGGGCGGCCTCTTCCCAGGGCCAGGCTAGGAGGCCGGAAACCCAGGAGTGAGAGAAGGGTGGGCCTGGGGTCAACGGGATCGTACTTGGGAGCACATCCAAATGTAGGCCTGGGCGGGGGCTGGGGGCCTGGCCAGCAGGCGTAGGCGAGGCCCATCTTGGCCCCACTTCCTGGCCTGCACGGCACTTGCCCTCATGAGGACACACACCCAGATGGGAGCACGGGTGGGATGACTCAGCTGAGGGCCTGCCTGCCCGGGCTCCGGCTCCAGCCTTCCTCTCCTTGACTTGTCACGGGCCACCTGGGAATGTCCCCTGTCCTGCCCTCTGAGCCCCTCTGCCTCCCAGCCCTGGCGCACTGTCTGTGGGTCGGGGGTTGAATAACTAATAACAACACCAACAGTATTTGAGGGCATCCTGGAGGCAGGCAGGGTGAATTTTCTCTAATCTTCACACAACACCCCAGCAAGGGCAAGGCAGCCAGCAGGAGACTATCAAGGCTCAGAGAGGTGGACGTCATTTTCCGGCGTCACACAGCAAGTGACTGGCGAGTGGGGGAGATGAGTTTCCAACCCCAGCCTCTCTCCACTCACCGGGCACCCCTCCACCTACAGACGCCCATGGGGCAGACACAGTCATAAGAACACGGGAGCCCACAATCGACACCCCGTAGTCTGTGGACACACAGATTGATCTTAGATAAAATAATGGCCACCCACAGCACCCCCTCACTCACCTTGCTGATGGAATGTTCGATGAGCTCACTCAGGCCCCAATAACCCCACTCAGACCCCCACCCGAGGCTCACACCCCCAACCCCCCTAGCTCACCCCCTCCCGGCTGTCCATTTCCCTCCCTCCGGGTCAGGCACCCAGGACCCTCCCCTGGGGTCACCCGTTTCCAGCTGTCTCTGGGCTATTCTCCCTCCCTCCCTCTGGAGAGGCCCGAGTCCTCTTCTAGGGGAGGGTGGAGGGGAGAGCTGCTACCTCAGCACCCCCAAGCCACCCTCGAGGGGGACCTCTCACCCCATGGCACCTGGAATCCTTTGTGGACTCTGCTGTGCGCTTGGCCCATGGGGCCTCGGTGGAGCCAGATCCTGGCAGAGGTGGGGGCCTGGGGCGCCCCGAAGTTAAGTGAAGATGTGTCCAGCCCTGGCCCTGGCCCCTGGCCCCTGAGTCCTCCCATTCCTAATTCCTCCTGGGTCTGGGTCTGGTTGAGGGTCCCCGGTGGGGGCAGGAAGCCAGTGGGAGGGAGGCTCCAGAGCTCCGGCCCCTACCCCTGCCTCCCCGCCTCCTGCAACTCCCCTGATGCTGAAACAGGACACGCGTCTGGCAGACGTCATCCTGCATTAATATGCTATAACTTCCTGAGTCCCCTCGGCCGTGGGGGCTGGAGGGAAGTGAGGGGTGGGGGACCAGGTGGCTGGGGGATCTGAGACCTGCACACACAGGCACCCACAGAGTCGGGTGCTGTGGTCACTTGAGGAGCCCTTGGCACGGCCGGAGCTGGGGTATCCGTCCTGCCGGAAGCGGAGATGGCAGCCGGCGGTGGGTGATAGGAAGGGGGAAGGATCTGGGGTGGCCGGGGGAAGTCTGCTGCTGCCCACTGCCCAGCTCGAGGTCAGGAGCATCCTGCCTGCCTTGGATGTGGCGTGGCTCGTTGCAGGAGCCTGTGCGGCTGACCACGGTGGGCCACTGGGGCGAGGGCCGGCTCCCTCCCCTGCAGGGAGGAGGGCACGGACCCGAGGCTGCCAGTCCACCCCTGGCCTGTCACGCAGCACAGAGGTGGCGGAACTGGGACAGACACTCAAGTCATGTGATGGGAGACCTGAGAGTTAGCGATCTCTACACTTAGACCACCTCCCTGAAAAAGAAGGGGTGCCTGAGAGGGTCCCCCAAGACCCGCCTGGTGCTCAAGGATGGGAAGGCTGATGGAGGCCATGGGCCCCATGGGGACAGACGCAGGTGACCACTGTGCTGGCAGATGGGACACACGGGCTGGCACACGGGCAGCTGGGGGCGTCTGGGGATGGCTGGGAGGGATGAATGCGAGGGGGATGCTGGACTTTGGATGGCTGTTTGGGGCCAAAATATTCCTGTAGGTCAAGGTCGCCAGAGCTTGGCCTGGGTCCTGGGAGCGCTGGTGTGAGGAGCAAAGGTAGACGCCAAGCCTGTCCCCATCAGGGCTAGGCTTCAAGGCCCTCCCCGCTTCCTCTTGGGGAGAGGGTTGGGGGGAGGGCTGAAGCTGCAGGACAACTCCAGGGCCTGACATTTTCCCTCTGGCCGGCCACCTCTTTCCCCACACTTCTGGAAGGACTGAATTGTGTCCAGGGAACAGAAATCTCAGTGGTGCCTGGAAAACACTGCATCAGGGAGGAATTTCCTGGTCATTTCTCAATCCCTGGGCAAGGTCTAACCCCGGGGCCTGGAGCCCAGAATAGATCCCAGAGGCCACCCCCAGATGGCCTCCCAGACTGGTCGCTGTGCCCCTCGGGGTCCATTCTGGACCCACTGGTGCGCTCCAAACTCCCGCTGGCTCAGTGACCTCCCCCCCCCCCCCCCCCCCGCAGATGTTGGCAGAGACCTGGGGGGGCGGCAGGTGGATCAGTGATGGGGACCAGAGGACCCAGGGAGGGAGGCAGAGGCGGGAGCTGGGAGCACTGAGTAGGGAGGACAGAGATGGAGCCAGCGAGCCTGGGAAGAGGGGAGGGAGCCAAGGGGGCCTCCTGAGAAAGCAGGGGGAGGGAAGGCGGGGCAGAGAGAGGAAATGAAAAAGCCAGGCCGAGCAGGCAAGATGAGTAGGGAGGGAGAGAGGGAGGAGGGAGGGAAGTGGGGAGAAGCTGACACACGCAGACCCACCCGGAGCCTGGGAAGGAAAGACCTACACCTAGAGGTGCGGTGAGGAGGGGCCCGGGAGGCAGGAGTGCAGAGAAGGGGCCGCAAGTCGAGGGGAGAGGGAGGGGGGTGAGGCAGAGGGGCAGAGAGTGGGGGACAGACTCAGAGGCGAGAGACACCTAGAAGGAACTAGGGACCTAGAAGGGGAAGGAGCCGGGAGAGACGCAGAAGAAACCAGAGACAGGGCAGAGATAATGAGAGACAGAGAGAGAGCAAGAGCCAGCGAGAAAGGCACTAAGTAGGAGCCGAGAGGGAAGAGCAACAGAGAGAAGGAAAGAGCCACGGTGGGGAGAGAGAAGACAGGGCGGAGAGCAAGGGACTCAGACAGACCCCCGGGGCTGGGGAGGACCATGGGGAGGACGGCGGCAGGTGTCTGAGCGCCCAGCAGGCCCCGCCCCCACCCCCGAGGACCCCCGCAGTCCCGGCCCAGGCCAGCGCCGGGGGCCAGGATGGACTCCTGCCGCAACCTCACCTACCTTCGGGACTCGGTGGGCCCGGCCACCAGCACCCTGATGTTCGTGGCGGGCGTGGTGGGCAATGGGCTGGCGCTGGGCATCTTGGGGGCGCGGCGGCGGTCCCGGCCCTCCGCCTTCGCAGTGCTGGTCACCGGGCTGGCGGCCACCGACCTGCTGGGCACTTGCTTCCTGAGCCCGGCCGTGTTCACGGCCTACGCCTACAACAGCTCGCTGCTGGGCCTGGCCCGAGGCCGGCCCGCCCTGTGCGACGCCTTCGCCTTCGCCATGACCTTCTTCGGCCTGGCCTCCACGCTCATCCTCTTCGCCATGGCCGTGGAGCGCTGCCTGGCGCTCAGCCACCCCTACCTCTATGCCCAGCTGGACGCCCCCCGCCGTGCCCGCCTGGCCCTGCCGGCCATCTACGCCTTCTGCGCCCTCTTCTGTTCGCTGCCACTGCTGGGCCTGGGCCAGCACCAGCAGTACTGCCCAGGCAGCTGGTGCTTCATCAGCCTGCGCTCCAACAAGCTGGGCGGCTGTGCCTTCTCGCTGGCCTACGCCAGCCTCGTGGCCCTGCTGGTGGCCGCCATCGTCCTCTGCAACGGCTCGGTCACCCTCAGCCTCTGCCGCATGTACCGCCGCCAGAGGACCCACCAGGGTGTGGCCACCCCCGGCCCCCGGGCAGGCGAGGACGAGGTGGACCACCTGATCCTGCTGGCCCTCATGACGGGCATCATGGCTGTGTGCTCCCTGCCCCTCACGGTGAGTCCCTGACGGCCTGGCCAGGAGGTGGGGAGGGAGCTGCGGCCTGCGGGGGGTGCCCGTCTCCCAGGTGGGGAGGACTCAGAGAGGCCAGAGGCTTGGTTCCTGAGCCCGTAGTTCCCAGCCTCCCAGAGAGCTCCCTACCCGCTGGCTTCAGCCCTCTTGGCCCCACTAGCCCCCTCGTCTTCCCCCTTCCATGTCTCCAGACACCCTCCCAAATGCACCCCCACACCCCCCGAAACCCCCACTGTTACAGTAATGCTGAGAGCACTCTTCATCAGGGGCGCTCTCTGAGTCCCCGGGGCCCAGCGGTGCGCGGACACTCGCTCAGAGAATCTTCCAAACGCCCTCAAGCTCCATGAGCGGTAAAAGCAGACGCGATTCCTGGCCAGGCACCGTTTTTTTACAGGCCGAGGGGCCGGGTCTCTCCACACGATCACACAGAGCCAAGTCTGGCCCCCAGCTGCTCTGACACCCATCTGATCTCCCCGCTCCCCCAGCCCCGCCCCGCCCTGCGCTTTGCCCTTGCAACCCGCCAGCTGTGCCCCTTTCCTGCCCAGGCCCAGATGGGCAGGCCCAGGCTCGGTGCCCCCGGCCCCTGTCATCTTACCTGTGTTCTCAGCCTCCGTTTCTCCTTCTTTAAAATGCGAGGGCAGGACTCCATGGGAAGGTGGTCAGAGCTTTTTGGGGGTGACGGCTGACTCAGAGTGTGGGAGCTGTGGACAGACAGGTGTGCGCACAGCCGCGGGGTCACCCGCACCCCCCCATCTGTCTCCTACGGGGCCTCTGCTGGTTATTCCCCAGGACTTTCTCTCCCCGGATGTATCTGTTACTGACTTTTCATCTTATCTTATTTCCTTCCCCTTCTGACAGCCCCCGCCCCACCCCCAACCCCGCCACCCTCACGCCTGCCAGCAGCAAGTGGGAGCGGGGCAGTAGGGGCGGGGATGGGACACAGAGAAAGGTGGGTGCTGCTTGACACCCTCCCTCTGTCCTCAGATCCGTGGATTCACCCAGGCCATCGCCCCAGACGGCAACGAAATGGAGGACCTCCTCGCCTTCCGTTTCAACGCCTTCAACCCCATCCTGGACCCCTGGGTCTTCATCCTCTTCCGCAAGGCTGTCTTCCAGCGGCTCCAGCGCTGGCTCTGCTGCCTGTGCCCCAGGCCTGGCCATGGGGACTCCCAGACACCCCTCTCCAGGCCCGTCTCGGGGAGAAAGGACCCAGGGGTCCCCGCTGCTCTCAGGGGAAAGGAGGGGAGCTGGGTGCCTTTGTCAGCCTGGGGCGAGGCAAGGGGGGGCCCCTCGCCTCAGGCACCACAATCAGGCAGCCCGGCAGGAGCCCCGTCCAAAGTGGGGTCTGCTTGCTCCCTCTGCTGATGCCCCAGCCCTGTCTTCTGGGAGCGGGAGACAGAGAATCCCTTGCTTTTCCCCAAGGCCGCGGGTGGAAGAGCAGGGAGGGACCCCCTGGAGCTGATGCTGGACTGACTGTGAACCCTTCAACTCAGGAGTCGATCAGCTGCTGTTTCCCCTCCTCTGGGGCAGCCTGGAGACAGACGCTGGGAAGAGAGGGGAGGGGGGAGATGTGTACCGGAGCTTTTTAAAAAGGAACAGTTCTCTCAAAATAACCAGTGGTCTGGCTGGCCCGGCCTGGCCCGCGCTCGCACATCCATCTCACAGTCTAAATATTTAGAAGGTGGGAAGTTCCCAGCAGCTTCTGTGAGCTCAGGCCTGCTGAGTTAGGGTTCCTGCTCCTGGTCTTCCCGGCTGCCCCCCACATCCCTGGGGAATCTACCAATCTCCCTTTCTCTGTCCCCTCAAGCCCCTAGCCTCCCTCACTGCTGATTTCCCGTCAGACTTGAGAGAGTCTTGGCCTCCAGGGGGTTGGGGGTAGGAGGAGGGAGGCCGTTGCATTGTGGGGTGACACTGCTAGGCAGGTGCCTGGGCAATGTGCCCGGCTTAGTGGTTGCAGGATGTGGATTGTGGGACCACGGGCAGGGCGGGGGGGGGGGGGGGGGGGAAGCTAAAGGATGGGGGGCGGGTCCCAGGGGCTGCCCTCAAATGCAACTGAGTTGGTCCTTGAATAAATAGTTGTCTCCCTATAGAGCCTCTCCCCACATCTGTCCCTGGAGTCCTCGCAAAGAGGTCATCCATTCACCCACTCATTCACTGGGCAAAGTGGGCACTGACTCTGCCAGTTGCTGGGGACACAGAGCCCCGCTTTGCCCTGGACTCCACTGGGGTGATTTCCAGCCTTTTCCCTCTCCCCTCCCCCATCCCTGCCTTCAGAAAGGTCCAGAAGAATCAAGAGTGCTGGGGGGATGAGCTGAGTGTCAGGGAAGGCAGCGGGGCTCAGGGTGGTGGAGGGCAACTGGTGAAGTCCTCCCACCCATGCCACCCCAGTTCCCCTTTGTCACTTGCTCCTGGGTTCAAACAGTAAATGCACCCCTGGGGGGTCGGCACGCGTAGGGGAGGCCGAGGCCAGCGCCTCCTATAAAGATAGTGGCAGCAAAAGCTGCACTTCGTCAGGGGAGCCGCCCCACCCTCTCGCACCTGCCCCTTGGCCTCTATAGCGGTGGGGCCCGGTCCAGAGAGGGCAGCACCAGCCCCAGGTCACTTGCAAGAAGAAGGCAGAGCAGGTGGGGGTGCTGGTCTCCATCTCTCTAGCCCTGATGGCTGGTGGGGCTAACGACTCTGACTCCGGGCCTTGGCTTCCTTTTAAGTATAAAGGTGATCATAATCAGTACTTAGTTGACAGAGATGTGCTGAGGACTAAAGATTCCCCCTGAAGTGCAATCAATTAAGCACTGGTCTGGAACAAAGCAGCTGGAACATTACTCTTGTGCCGTCTCCGTGGCTGCTGCTGCTGCTGCTTTGGCTCACTGTGATTCTGATCTCAATAAAGAAGAAGACGACGTTTCTGGGAGAGCAAGAAACAGGTCCGGATGACTGCCCGATGGGTACGGGCTCCCTCTGGGTGTGATGGAATGTTCTGGAACCAGATGGCCACTCAGCATCGCCAATGTACTAAAAAGCACTTCGGAATGGTTCAAATGGTCAGTTTGATGTTATGGGCATTTTACCACAATAAAAAAAAAAAATACTGAAACAAAAAAAAATAAATAAATGGAGGGTGTTTGTAGACTTTTAGAGCAGTTATGACAGATTAAGGAAGCTGGTTGAATCTAGTAGCAAAGTTGACTGGTACAAAAAAACAAAATAAAACCAGGTCAAGAAACATGAGGTGGGGTTGGCCTTTGTCGCCAGAACCAGTCGCTTCCTGGAATGAACACAAGGAGGCCCCTGGAGGACAGTGAGGGGGAGCAGAGGGGCATTTGGGCCAGAGTTCTGGGGAGGAGCCTGCCCTCTGGGCAAGACCCGAGGGGAGGGCACTTGCCTCCTCTCCCCTTGCTGCCCCCAAGATGGGTGCTGTCACCATTCTCATTTTGCAGGGGCGGGGTCAGGGGAGGAGAGGACTTGAAGTTTGAAGCCGTTTCCTGCTGGCGCTGACCCACCAGGCCTAACATCCCAAGAATCCCCTTCTCCTCTGCGTCTCGCCCCTGGCCCAGAGGTCTGCACAGTCTGCCAGGTCAACTCCCTCCCCTGCCCACCGCTGTCCCTCTGGGATGATTTGGAAACCCCTCTCCCAGATAGGGCCCTGATCCCCAGCTGCCCCCATGGTCTCTGCTCGCTGGGGTCCTGCCAAGGTCAGAGGTGATGCTTGCCAAGCCCCGGGGCCCACAGCCTGGAGGCTAAGGCCAACCCCAGGAGTCTTCTCAGCCCCAGGCAACAACCCAGGTTCCCCCTTCTCTGTTCATCCATCCTTCCTGGAACTGTCCCCCCTTCTCTGTCTGTCAAAACTACCTTTGCCCTTCAAATTCTGACGAGACTATTCCTCTTTACTGTTTTTTTTTTTAAAGATTTATTTTTATTTATTTATGCATACAAGAGCTGGGGTACAGGCTAGAGGTGCAGGGGTGAGAGGACTCACCAGAGACAGAGTGGGGAGCAGAACAGGCGGATCTACTGAAATACACTGCTGAGGGGAGCAGCGGGCAGGCGAGACAGGCGAGGTCTGCTGCGCCACGTGGGTCAGGTCAGCTCCTGGCTGCAGTGGCTGGCGATAGCTTGATAGCGCTGAGACCTAACCCTTGTGCCCCCAGGGAGGCCCTAGACTATTCCTTTTTGAAGATAATCATTTCTCTCCCTAAGGGGCTTGCAGCACTCGTGGCCCGGCCATTTGTTCGGGCATTCAGCCGGCCCTTATTGAGGGCTTACTGGATGTCAGATCTTTCCTCCGTGATGCTGGGAAACAGAAGCAACAGAGATGGCCCTGACTCTGCCTTCCTAAGTCTCACAGTCAAGAGTGGGCAGGGCTGGGAATGTGGCAGTCAGAGTTGAGGGGGACATCAGGGAGGGCTTCTTGGAGGAGGTGATGGTTGAACTGGGACTTGCAAATTGGAAGACAGTAAAGTATAGAAGCGTTTCTGTTGTGCTCTTGGTTCAGACTCTGCCTCTATTGTCTCCTTTCTTTACACTCTTATTCATTCATTCATTCATTCATCAAACACTGCCTTGAGCTTCTGGGCACTGAGGCTACTAGGGACAGAGCAGTGGTTAACACGGCCTTGCTCCTACCCCACTCACAATCCAGTGGAGTGACAATAATTACAGAAATCGGTATTATAGTAAGCAGCAAAAATACAAAATGTCAGGCTGTACTCGGTACTAAGAGAGCACAGTGCAAGGATTTGTGGGAACCTAGAAGTGGCCTGCCCCAGTGTAGGGTGGGGTCAAAAAATGACACGCTAGGGATGGGACTGTTTTCTCTCAGGGAGACTTTATTTAATTTCATTTTTTTCATGCATAAGCACCAATCCTGGCCCACGTAAGGGGTGTAACAAGCACCACTCGCCCTCAGAGTCTGCTCCCCAGGCTTTCTGTGGGCATTGCCCCACCTGCTGGCCACACTGGGAATGCACACAGAAGTGTCCCCAGAACCACCCTGGGAAAGGGAGGTGAACCTAGATTTCCCTCCCTGGGACCCTGGTTGGCACCGCCACGTGTGCCCCCTGTCTAGTCACTGTCATGGGACAGGCTTTGCGTTGGTCTAGCAGATCCGTGTGCCTGAGCCACAAGTGCTTCCCATGCCAGGTGCGTCTTGCTTTGGCTGCAGTCAGCTCCCCTCGGCCCTGCCCATTAGAGACTCAGATGCCACCTACATGGCTTCAACTATCAGAGTGGGGAAGGGGAGTTATTATTATTATTAATGCAGCCCCAGGGGCAAAATTAGAGGGTAGGCAATGGGGTGTTAAAACCATTGGTGTTGGTACCCCAGAACCAGGTGAGGGTTTCCCTGCCCGGCTCCCTTCCTTCCTGTCAGATCCTGAGGATTGCTCATTTCAGGCTGCGTGCCTGCTGCAAAGCTGGCACGCCATACATGGTGCTGAGTTTTGCTAAGGCTTGATCTGGCCTGGGTAAGAGTGAAATGAGGTCTAGAAAGTGCTTGGCACAAGTCCCCGAGGTGGATATTCTATAGTTTATTATTCCCCATTTTTTAAAAGATTTATTTATGCATGCAAGAACTGGGGTACAGGCCAGAGGTGCCAGGGGTGAGAGGATTCACCAGAGATAGAGTATTTCAGGCAGCTTGACTGAAATACACTGCTGAGGGGAGCAGCGGGGAGACAGGAGAGGTCTGCCGCATATGTATGTGGGTTATCTCCCTGGCCGGGGATTGAACTTGTGCTGCAGTGGTTGCGGATAGCTTCATAGTGCTGCATCTTAACCCCTTGGGCCACCAGGGAGACCCCCCTATTATTCCCCTATTATTCCCCAACTGAGGCCTGGGAAAGTGAATGCTCAGAGGCTCCCCAGGAGGAAGGGGCCAAGGCACACCCACTGGGGCTTGGTGAGTGCTGGCTCAGGGCAGCAAGTGGGCACCCTGGGCACGCAGACCAGTCCTGCGGGTCACCAAAACCTGTCTTCATCTCACTTAAGACCAGAAATCCCCCCTGCTATCCTGGCTGCCGACGGGGCAGCCCTATCTCAGGGCCCACCCCTGGGACCCTGGTTTCAGCGAGGCCTTCTCACTGGCTGGGCTGCAGGCCTGCCGGAAGTTGGCTTTTTTTTTTTTTTTTTTTTAATAAAGACCATTTACTTTAAAACCAGGCAGCTGAGTGTAGACTCCAGGGGTCAGGTCTGGTTCAAATTCCAGCTCCGCCACTTTTGACTTAAAAACTTTCATTTTTGGGGCCTTGGTTTTCTAGTCTGTGGGGACTAAAGAGCATCTAGCTCCCCGGGCTGGATTCAGGGTGAACGTGGAGCTGAGCTGAGCGACCAGGCGCCTCATACGCTCCAGCTACTTCCTGTAATTCAGCCGGTCTTGGGCTTGGCCCTCCCAGGTGGGAGTGACCGTACTGTACTCCCCATTTTGTAAAGGTGAGGTCACAAGGTCCAGGCACCCCCATGGAGAAAGACCACGGGAGCTTATTCTTTACCCTCTCCAGTCTTTGCTGTACCCCCAAATGCCAAATGCACATCAAAGGGAGCACTAAGCTGGAGTTCTGGGCAAATGGCTGCTGCTCCCGGCTGCCCACCCAGGAGGACGCAGCTGGGTCTAGTCTCTGGGCCACCCAAGGTCGGGGGCTGCCAGCACTTCCATCCTGCCGGGCCGGGAGAGATGCACGGAGGAAAAGGAATCTTCACTCTGCCAAGTCCTGTCTCCTAAAGCTCCTGCCCAGCCCGGGGTGAGTACCCCTCTAGGAGAATGTTCAGGTCCTATTACCTGTTCACCCCTTGAGGCCGCCCTAAACAGGAAGCAGAGGGGCTCTGTGGCCATATTTTGGGAATAGCCTCCGAGGGCTCTTATGCGCCCACCTCTGCGACACCCCAGGACCACAGGCCTATCTTCTGCACACACACTCTCCCCCCCACCCCCCACCCGGGGGAAGTCGAGGTTCTTCCAGTGTGTGCAGCGACTCTGGGCTTGTTTCGGATCTTCCTCAGCCCTGGGCTCTTCCTGGGTCGACCTGAAGCCCAGGAGCGCAAGGAGATCAGGAACATGGAGCTCTTCTCTGGACTCAGCTCACTTAGCCGGTCTGACCTCATTCTGACAAGGCACCCCTTCTCCAAAGCACCCTGTTGAGATTCCCCCCACTGACCAGGCCTGTAGGGTCTGACCCTACCTTCTAGAAACCTCCCTGGCTTTCCGAGTGTGGGCCTCAGGGTGCCCTGCTCGCCTTGCCTATGTCGTTTCCTCAGAGGACACCCCGCCTTCCCTTCCTTCAGGCCTCAAGCTGCCCCCGGCGCCCCATGTGGGACACTGTCCTAGCACAACCTGCGCGCCCCAGGCTTCCCCAGCCCTTCTCAGGGGTGGTGGCTGAAAGCCTGGGGGAAGCGGCAGGGAGCAGGCCCAGAAACCCAACAAGAGGGGAGGAGCCAAGTCAGGTAGTCACTGTATTTTATTGGAAAACATTGATATATATTTTTCTTCACAGCTTAAACTGAACACAATATTGCCCGGTTTAAAAAAAAAACAAACCAAAAAACCCAAATCAAAACACTCTGAAAAAAATGTCTACAGCCTCACGCCTAACCTGCCCTCACCCTCAGCTCCGCGGGTCTCCTAGCAGACCCACCCCCACCTGCCTCCCCAGGCTGGGCGCCAGAGGGCGGGCGGGGGTTCTCCAAGCTGGGCAGGTCCCAGGAAAAGCCACTTGATCGACCTGGGGGGAATGAGGGGTCGGGTCTGATGGAATAAACAGAAAAAGGGGAAAACAATGCAGACACCGATCTGCCCACACTGACTTACTTGTCCCAGAGGCGAAAGTCAGAAGCAAGGTCACGGATCATGCTCTCCGGAGGGGGAGTGTGGGGGCAGGCAGGCGGGCAGGCGGGAGAGGAGGGGCGAGGAGGGCAGACAGCGCACGTGGGGGCCAGCCGAGCAGCGGAGAAGCTCGCCGGGGCGGAGCTGGTCCTCCCGCAGGCAGCCGGCAAGATGGTCTTATTGCGGTGTGTTCTCTCGAGCGTGGTGGGGCGCATCCTCCCTCTCCCCACCCTGCAGCCAGCCAGCCCGGCGTGGTTTTTGACAGAATCAAAGGGTTCAGGGGCAGAAAGAAAAGAGACAGAAGGATAGCCAGCACATGACAAAGCAGGGGTCCCCACATCTGTTCCAAGGAGGGGACCTCGATGCCGGAGGGCGGGTGCGTGGTGAGGGAGCCGCAGGGGATGTTAGCACCAGGTATTTACACAACAGCTCGAGAGCGCGCGAGGAACGTGGGCCTGCACAGTCTGCAGGGGGGCGGCTGGTGCAGCCCCCACCTGGCCCGACCTCAGAAAGCCAATCGGGTGGTCTCAGGACAGCAGCCAATGGGATCTGAGTGTTTCCCACTCTGCGCGCCCCCTTCCAGGAGTCAGCCCCTCAAGTGGTGAAAGCGGGCTGGGGGTCCAACACTCCTCTGCCGCTGCCTGTCACCGCTCGCCCCTCCCCGGGCTACATCCTCTTGACCCGCGACTCCGGGATTCCCCCCTCAATCCTGCTGGAAGGCCTCCCCCAGCCTCCCTGCCCCAAAGGCTGCTGGGATTGGCACAGGGAATCACAGGGTTGGCTGCATGCAACAGCGAGGCATGCTCTTCTGCCCGGGTAGGGCCTCGTGCCCGGCCTAGCCGGTCCCGGGACAGGGCTGGCAGCCACCCCAGCACCCAAAATAAGATGACAAACGAAAGGAGACAAAATGAAATGGAGGGGAGCCACCCGGGCGGGAGGAGGAGGGCAGAGGCTCCCTAAGGGAAGGGGGCTTCATCTTATGAGTGTGTCAGGACTTGGAAGGGGGGAATGGAAGAGGGGAAGGCAAAAGGAAGAGATGAGGGGCAGGAGGGAGACTCGGGGAGGAAGGAGAAAGAGCAGTCATGCAGCTTGGGACAAATCTTTTGTCGCTTTATCAGATTCTCAGTCAATCAATTGGTGTTTGCTAGAACCGGGTACGCAGGGGAGTGTCGAAGAGAGTGCGCGCGCGAGAAGAGAGATCAAGAGGACGGGCATCGCCAGCTGCCCGGGCCTTCACTTCGCAGTCATCATCTGTACAAACTCTGTGGAGAGAGAGAGGGAGACCGGCGGGTGAGTGGGGTGCACCTCGAGCGGCCCCCCACGACAGGCGCCCCCGGCCCAGACTTGTGCCCCCTCACCTTCATAATTGACCTGCCCGTCTCCATCGATGTCCGCCTCCCTGATCATCTCATCCACTTCCTCATCCGTCAGCTTCTCCCCCAGGTTCGTCATGACGTGACGCAGCTCCGCAGCGCTGATGTAGCCGTTGCCATCCTGCGCGTGGGGACAGGGACTGTCGGTCCCCCTTGCGCGGCAGGAAGGCCGTCCTGAGGCAGAACGGGGTGGGCCCTGGGACCCCGGCCTCCCCAGGAGGCGACTCAGAAGTGCCCCGAGCCACCGGCGAGGACAGCTCACCTTGTCGAAGACGCGGAAGGCCTCCCGGATCTCCTCCTCGCTGTCCGTGTCCTTCATCTTTCTGGCCATCATGGTCAGGAACTCCGGGAAGTCGATGGTCCCGTTCCCTGCAAGGGGAAAGGGAGGCGGCGTGCTCTTGGCCTGGACTCTGGAGACGCCCCGAGGCCTGCCAGAGGAGGTCCTGCCCCTTCGTCATCCCCAGGACGGCTCCTGTGGTCCCCCGGGGTGACCGGGCGGGCAGCCACCTGCTCCGTGGGGCTCACCATCTGCGTCCACCTCGTTGATCATGTCCTGCAGCTCCGCCTCAGTGGGGTTCTGTCCCAGGGATCTCATCACTGTCCCCAACTCCTTGGTGGTGATGGTGCCGTCTCCATCCTTGTCGAAGAGGGAGAAGGCCTCCTTGAACTCTGAGGGGAGGCCAGTGAATTAGACAAGGACCGCAGGGAAACCCCACCTTTGGGGTGCTCAGTGCCACCCGTCCTCCCGCCAGCGGCCAGCCCGGGTCTCTCGCCTGCTCAGGGCAGACCCTGCCTTCTCTCGGTCAGGGCTGACAGAGCACCCGCTCCGGGCCGGGTGAAGCTGCCCGTTCAGCCGCCCTGGGCGCGCGAGGGCGAGGGGAACGTGGTCTGGGAGCAGTGGTGAGGTAACTCGCTCTTTTTGGTCTCCGGCTTCAGCCTCGTGCTCAGATGAGATGGACCCGTGTCACGGGGGGGACGAGCGCCAAGAGAAGCGCCGCCGAGGTGAGGTGGCTGGGAAGGGAGGCTGCAGCAGGCCCTGGTCGGCGGCGAGCCCCTCCTAGCTGGTCCTGGCACCCTGGTTCCCGGCCGGGGTGCCACTGGCTTCCAGGGGAGGAGCGGAGCGGCGGGTGGGGTGGGGGTGGGGGTGGTCGGCAGCCAAGCAGGGCTGGCGGACGGTGCGTGGGGTGTGGAAGGAGAGGGGACGGCTGCCGCGCCAGGAGGATGCGGCGCGAGCGGCTGAGTGGGAAGGCCGCAGCTGGGGGCCGAGTCAGGAGCGGGAGAGAAGCACGTGGCTCCTGCCCTCCCACTGGGCCCATTTTGGCACCTGGTGCTCCCTCCCCCCGAACTCTAGAGAACAGATGCCTGGCAGCCTATTCCCAGAGGGTGTGGGCTGGGGTGAGGTGGTGGACAGTTTCTACTGGGGACAGGGAGGAGAGGGGTGTGTGTGTTTATGTTCCGCGAGGGCAGCGCTGGGGCGCGGGTGGCAGGTGCGGCGGGAACAATGCACACAGCCCAGGGCGGCGCCCCCAGGGAGATGCTACGAGGTTCTCTGAGACGGCAGCACCCGAGCCACGGCCCTGTCTTGGCAGGACAAGGAGTGGATCGTGTAGCCTGAACTCGCCATCACTCAACAGCCAGGCTTTCCCGGGCCGGAAGTGAAGCTGGAAGCGGGGCGTGGGGTGGGAGCGAAGGCAAGTCCTTTCTTCCTGCGCCCACTGGGGACGCTGGACTCGCCATCGCGGCCGCTGCACCTGGCTGCCACAGGGGGCCCGGGGAGCTGGGCCCGTCTCGAATCCCCTGCTTGGCGACTCCGGGCTGGCCCTTGGCTATGGCAGTAAACTGTCCTCGGGCAGCTCAGTCTGGGGAGGGGGGACACGGCCACCCCCGCCATGACACACAGCTCCTGCAGTGGCCGCTGCGGGGCTCTGGGCGGGGGAGGGACTATAAGAAAGAGGGGATCCCAGGACTTCTTGCAGAGGACTGGGGGATACGTGATGGCTCCTTTATTCATTTATTTGGCCAAGAAAAGTGTCTGGAGCATTCGTTATGTTGGAGGCGCTGAAGATACGGCGGGACTAAGAGTCCCCCGAGGGCACTCCATCTAGTGGCGGGAGCCGCGGCAGGTCGCCTCAGAGGAGCTCTAGATGGCGAGAGAGCTCCGAGGGACAGTGACAGCGGGATGGAGAGCAAGGGCAGGCTGTCTGGGGGGCGGGGGGCAGAGAAGGCCTCACCCCATGGCAGGGGGTTGCAACATGCAGGCGAGTGCAAGGGTGGGCGTGACGAGCCATCTTCTGGGTAGCTCGAAAGTGGGACAGGAGCTCTGCAGCCCCAGAGAGGCAAGGCGGGGCACCCCCTCCGGAGCCTAACTGGTGCTCCCCCTGCAGCCACTGGCTGAAAGGCCCCCAGTGACCTCTCCAGGAGAGGAACCCCACCTTTGGCAGGTGGGAAGGCCTGTCTCAAGCTCATGGGCACGGGGTCTCCCACACACGGTGTCAGCGTGCTACGCACAGGACATGAGATGGCACAGGGGGCACAAGTCCATCTGTCATGTGCTCACTGCCAGGGGGCTGAGGTTTGCCTGGGGACGAGAGGCTACCCAGAGGCAGGAGGAGGGGGAGCGGTGGGCTCACCTGCGATCTGCTCCTCAGTCAGCTGGTCAGCCTGCAAAAGAAGGAGAAAGTTAGCCACTGGGCTGACCTGCCAAGGCTCAGCGCCCTCTGGTGAGGCCGGTGCCACACAGCATCCCAGGCACCAGGGCCGGGAGGCACAGATCAGATTCAGGGCTGGGGGCAGAGCCAGGGCCGGGGATGAAGTCTGGTGAGCCAGAAAGCTGGGATAAGGGTGGGCTGCAACCCGAGGCCTGCCCCCTGCAGGACATGAGGAAGCTGCCCAGATCCAAAGGTTGCCAGTCTCGATCTAGGGCTTTGGAGCCACAGCAGGTGGGAACATACATGGCCCCAGCCCCAAGCCCTGGTGCCCGGTGTAGCATGGGGCTCACAGCAGGGTGCCCCGGAGGCTGAATGAAGGGAGCACTTGCCCTAGAGGCCTCATCAAGCAGCTCTAGAAGACTCCAAGCTGAAACAGGCCCATCCTCAGGAAGGGCAGAGGGAAGATGCCCAGTGCCCTTTGTGAGTTTCTGTGGCACCTCTTCGGAGGCACCAGGTCCAGGCAGAGTGGACCCAGGGACACACAGCATCCTTGCTGACTGCTCTGAGCTGCACCGTGGCCCTGCCAGCACCCTGGGCAGTGCCCTGTGCCACGCGCCCAGGGCACCATCCACTTTTGTGTCTCTGAGGCAAGAGGGACATTTGGAGGGGGGACAGCGGGAGTGGTGGCAAAGGCTGAGGGCCTAAAGTCAGCTTCCCCAGCTGTGCTGCAGTTTTTAACCCTTCCCGGCCCTGGCCACTCTGGGGAGCGGCCAGTGGGTGGCAGGCAGCCCTTGCTGCATGCAGGGCTTGGGGGTGGGGTGGAGGACAGGCAAAGACTAGCCTGTCCTGCAGGGCTGGGGATCAGCCAGGCCCAGGGATTCTCAGATGTTGGCAGGGAATTGGTGGGTGAATCTCAATTTTTAGCTTTAGGTAGCAAAATGACGCCTTTTCCTGGGTTTTTCTGAATGCTGCCAAAAAGGCGCCCCTCTCCCTGATCACTGTGAGTGCAGAAGACTGCTCCCCTGGCTCCCCTTCTTTCCCAGTGAGGGGAAGGGGCTCCATGTCTCCAGCAGGGTTCCAGCTCTGAGACTGAATGCACCCCAGCCGATGCTGACTCCAGTGTGCATTTGCATTATTCTAGAGAGGTTCCAGAGCTTCCCTGTGAGGCTAGCAGCTACCTCCCGGCCCCTCCCCCCACTCCTGTTCCAAATATTGAGCATCAGTCACATTAGAACTGGTCTAAAACGTCCTTTTTTCTCATCTAAGGGAAGAACTTAAGGCCAAATCCCAAGCAGGCAGAATGGTGGGGGAGGGAAACTCAAAGCGGGGATGGCAGAGGGGAGAAGGCACATACAGAGGGAACCGCCACTGTGCCCCTTCTGGAAGGGTCCCAGGTCAAACGGGGAGGGGAGGAAGCCACCTAGAGACACCTCTGCACCGCCTTAAAAACCTCAGGGCTGCTGGGCCCCTCAAGGCCAAGCTGGCAGCTCTGGCTGTGAGCCCCTCACTCTACGTGCTCTCCTGGCTCCTAAGGGCAAAGCAGCCCAACTGATGCCCCAGGTCCTGACACCACGGAAGCTGCTGCGGGGGCTGGGCCTCTGGCTGCCATCACCTGCCCTCATGCTCTTCCCCTGAAGGGCCAGGGGTCGGGCTGGAGCCAGGGGAGGCAGGTTGCAGAGAGCCTGGAGTGGCAGTGCCTGCCACTCCCAGGAGACCGGCTGGAAGGCGCAGCTGAGCTGAGGCACTGCCATGCTCCCTTCTGGGCTTGCTGCAAATAGGCGTGGCTCCGCCTCTCCCTCCTGGTAAGGAGACCCTCTCCCTGGCATGGTGAAGGAAAGGTTACCCAGCTCCCCGCTACAGACCTCAGAGCAGGGCAGCGCCTCGAAAACAGATGATCTGACAAGGGGTCCCTTGCTCGGGGCCGCTTCTCAGGGCTTCTTTCCTTTCCAGCTCTGAGGATTTTTAAGCTTGCATCAAAAATTGTCTCCCAAATGACCCAGCTGGTCTCCTGCTTCCTGAGCCCTCATTTTAGGCTTCAGCAAGGGGATATACAAGAACAAAATCTTGGGGCGGCGGGGAGAGGGAGGGAGAAGCGGGTATTATTTCTCGGCCGGGCCCCAGCCCCCAGCCAACGCCAGAGAGCAGTGTTAGATGAGATCAGAAACCAGGGCCAGGGCCCCTCACCAGGGCCAAGGAGGAGCCTGGGTGCTCAGGACAAAGTCCAAGGCCAGTTAACAGTGACCTGTCCCACCCATACCTTGCTGATTACAAAGGGAAAGAGAAACTAGCCGCCACCGGGGGGCCAAGGCCCAGGTCCTGTTTTGGAGGGGGTCGGGTGCTGGCACCTGCTAGCGCTTCAGGGCCCCTAAGCCAGGCTCTGCTGGGGGACACTGGGAGGGTGCAAGAGGAGCCATCAGGTCTGTGTCAGCAAGTCTGAGACCTGATACACAGCAGCGGCTGCCTGTTCTCCCCAGCCCTGCCAGGGAGGATGGCTGCGCACGCTTCCGAGCTGCGCCTGGGGGGGGCTGTGGGTGTTGTGGGTGGCAGGGAGGAGGAAAGAACTAGTCTGCTGGTTTTCTCCCAAAGCAGTAGCTTTGTGAATTGAAGAAGCCCCCACAAGGGGCCTGAGAACCAATGAAAGGGTCTCTCTGGAGGTCCTGGAGGGTCAAGCTCTGCAGCCCCTACCCCGAGGCTACAGGAATTGGCGTGTGATTGTCACCGACGCCACAATGTACTGCACTGTCATTTGGCACAAGTGAGGAGATGCAGAACAGCGCGCTGCCGGGCCGGAGGCGGGGAGAAAGCCGTCACTCCTGGTCGGGAAAAGCCGCTCTCTTGCTCTGAAAGGGGCAGCGAGGGGATGAGGTTCTAGACTAAAAAAGCTGGCTCACAGGATGCACCCCAAACTTTGATTTCCCCCACCCCCATTTCATGCGGCTTCAGTGCGCAATAGGGGCCTGAACTCTGCCCACCTGCTCCCGCTGCCCTGGTGCCTTGGGCCAGCCCCATCCTTCCTGGGGAGGGGGAACCCTCGGGCCACTCCCTCCGGCCTCCGCAGCCCACTCCCCATTCACAGGGAACAGCCTTTGTCCCGGCCCTTCCCTGGAGACTTCCAGGGAGCCACCCACATCCACCTCCAGCCTAGGACCACCCATTTCCTCCTCCAACACCCTCCCCACGCCCCACCCAAGCCAAAGTCCTCTCCCACAACCTCACCTTGGAAACCCACCTTCTCAGGGACCCAAACACGACACTCCGCCCCACCTCCCCCCCAAAACCCAACCTCCCCTCCCGCTAGGAAGCTCAGAACCTTTCCTGGCCCTGCTCCCCCTCCCCCCAACCAACAAGGGCCCCCGGACCCCCGCCCCTGGCCAGCCCCACTCTCGCCATTCCCTCTGAGCCACCCCCACGACCCCAACCCACTCGGGTCCCGCAGGCTCCAGAGAGCATCTTCTGGGCTCCGCTGCCGCCCACCCCAGGCTCTTCCTCCCCGGAGCTCGCGCCTCGCCCTCCTCCTCCTCCCCTGCAGTGCCGCCTTCCGAGGGCCCCCCTCGATCGTCAAGGGTCTGATGCGCCCGAGGGAGCCCCCCAACCCCTGTCCGGGAGCACCCCACCCCGCCCGGGGCCTCGCTCCGCTCCCCGCATCCTCTCAGGACTTCCCCGGGGCCCGAGCAGCCCCTGCCCGGCCGGGGCTCCCCAGCTCGGCCCCCTGGGGTCCGAACACCCCACTTCAGGGACCGAACGCCCCTTCCCGAGTCCACAGCTCCCTTCGAGGGTCCCGATGCTCCATCCCGGCTACACTGCCCCCTCTGAGGGCGCCGGTGCCCGTTCGGAAGTCTAAACACCCCCTTTTGGGGCAAAATGTCGCTTTTGGCAGCCGCTACCCCCCCACCTTCGGGGATCCAAACGTCCCGACCCGGGTTCGGGTCCCCGCGCAGCAGGGGTCCAGCGGCTCTCGCCGGGGTCCGATCGCCGCCCGTTCGGGGTCCTCTCACCCCTCCGGGGTCCTGCCCGCCGGCCGCCCCGAGACCCCAGCCGGGGCGGCCCCCGCGCCTCACTCACCATGGCGAGGCCCGGGTGTCCGGAGCGCGGGGATCAAGGTTCCTCCGGCGGCGGCAGCAGCTGCAGCAGCTCGAGCTCTGCCGCGCGTCCGCGCCTCCACACTCACTGCCCGCAGCGCGCGCCGCCGCCGCCGCCGCCCGCCCCAACGGTCCCTCAACGGCCGCCGCGCGCGCCCCGCCTCGCCCGGCCCCGCCCCGCCCGGCCGGCGTGCCGCCGCACTGCGGCGCCCGCAGATCCCTCCGCGCCTCTCTCCGCACCGACGGGCCCGCGGATCTCCGGCTCCACCCCGCACTGGGCCGGGGTTCACCGCCGGCCGCGCGCGCGCGCCCCCGCCGCGGGACTACTTTCCGTCGCTGCGCGCCCCGCCCCTTGTGCTCACTCCACTTTCCTCTCCGGCGGAGGGGCACCGCTCGACGGCGCGTGAAACGTCCCGATGTGAGCCGCGCCGCTATTGGGCCCAGGCCAGGGCGGAAATGAGAGCGCGGCGCCGATTGGTCCGGCCTTCCCTGCAATGCGTCAAACTGGGGCGAGCCACTGCGCCGTGGTGGGGCGGAAGCCCGAGATGTGCGGCCGCGTGGGGCTGCGGGGCGTTCCGAGGCGCAGGGGGAAGCCGTCTGGCTCTCAGAGAAGCTAAGGCATCGTCTTCGTGGCGGGGAGTGGTAAGAGACCTGGCGGAGAACGTAGGAGGACTTTCTCGGCTCTCCCCTCTAACAGGTGAAGATGGTGCAACCCAAAGTCTGGGGTCTGGAAGCCCCGCCCCCAACTGGGCCCTGCGAGGTGGCGGGGTCTTCAAGATTCCGCTTGTCACCTGAAGGGACCGCTCCCCAGGGCCGGGGTGGCGTCCTGAGACGCACTCCACCTCCGTGTCCGACCTCCTCTCCACTTAACTGCTGACCGGCTCAGGGTGTTGGTAATCTCTGAGAATAGGGCGTGCACGCACGCATGCATTCATTCAATCAACGTGATTTCAGTATGCCTGGACCTGGGCAGAGGAGACCACCTGCCCAGCCGTTCTCCTGTCCTTTCCCAGACCACCTGACTCTTGCACCGTTGTGCCAAGGTTCCAACTATAGGGGGAAAAAGAATTAATGCAAAGGTTAGGCCAGGTTTACTGGAGCTCAGAACAGCCCCCTCCCCAGATTAGAAAAGGAGGTGCCATTTGTTTAATTGTTCCTCCTACCTTGCCTTGATTGGCTGAGGAGTGGGCAAGTGAGTCAGGTTGGGCCAATCATCATGCTCCAGGTGGAACAGACTATAGGCTGAGCCAATGAGAGTGCTTCCCTAGGTTTTTGACTCCGCAGCTTGGGCAGGTGGGGCAGTGAAGGGATAGATCCAGAGTTGTTCGTGGCTGTTTCCCCACCCCAACCTACCTTGGGGGACATAGTGTCTAGAGGAGACCAGAATAAAATTGGCAAGGGGGAGAGATGAAGTGAGACCTGTTGACGTTCACTTTTCTGGATCTAATACTCTTGAGACCCTCATGCCAGGTTTTGATTACATGAGCCCTTCAAGTTTCCCTTTTAGCCCACGCTAGTTTCTGTTGAATTTCTGACACTTGCAACCAGTGACTTCCTAGCGGAGATCTGTCTTGGTCATCAGCACTAGTCTTGAAACAGAGAAGATCAAGGAGACAGTCCACCTTTGCTGAATAGGCAAAATGGTAGCTGGCTTTTGTTGAATCTCGGTTTCCATCAGGCAGATTTTCATTTCTGGTTTACTTAGGACTATGGAATACTAAATCTGCTGCTAATGCTTTTGAGCACTTACATTACCTATGGCACTGGTCCAAGCACTTTGTGTGTATGACCTCATTTAATTCTGACATTCTCCCTATGAGTTTTTTTTTTTTTTTTTTTTTTATAGAGGCATGCTTTATTTATTTGTTTGCTGGTTTCTTTGTTTGTTTTGTTTATACATGCACTGGGTACAGTCAGAAGCGCGGGAGGGCGAGAGAATTCACCAGAGCCAGAGCGGGGAGCAGAGCAGGCAGAAGGACCGAAGTACACTGCTGAGGGGAGCAGCGGGCGGCAGGAGAGGTCTGCGCGCCATGTGGGACCCTCCTCCGGTGGCCGGGGAGCAGCCGGGGATCGAACCGGCGCCGCAGAGGCCGCGCGCAGCTTCGCAACCCAGCGCTCAACCGCTGCGCCACCGGGGAGGCCCCCTATGAGTTTTTTACTTCCAGTTTTCCTCTTGATGAAATGGTTTTGTTGCCACTGGAATTAGATGAGACCAGAGAGGCAGGAAGGCTTGATTAAGGTCACATAGGAGGAAATAGTCAAGTTTCGAACCAAAGCAATTGGACTAAACCTCCTCCACACTCACACACTATACACAATCTCGCCAGTGGGGGAGATTGTATTTGTCTTCCATTGTCCTTATCTCCCAGAGTAGTAAAATTTTAGCTGAGCAACACTTCCCACCCTCCCTTGCCATAAGGGGTGGTTGTCTGGTTGAATTTTGGCCAGAAGGGATGTGAACAGAAATGACATATGCAACTTCTAGGTACGCCCTTAAATGGAGGGGACATGCCTCTCTCTCTTCACTGGTCAAGCCTCCACCATGGGGATTAAAGACTAATGGTAAAGGCCTCCCTGGTGGCACAGGGGTTAAAGTCTTAGCTATCAAGCCATCTCCAGCCTCTGCAGCATGAGTTCGATCCCCAGCCAGAAAGCTGACCCACATGGTGCAGCAGACCTCTCTTGCCTCGCCCGCTGCTTCCCTCAGCAGTGTATTTCAGTAGATCCATCTGTTTTGCTCCCCACTCCATCTCTGGTGAGTCCTCTCACCCCCTGCACCACTGGCCTACACCCCAGTGCTTGTATGCATAAAAAAAAAAAAGACTAACAGTGAGTATACTCACCCATCTATCCCTGGTGCCAAACTTTAATTAAGACAAATAATTTGGATCACTTTGTTATAGTAAATGTTAGGCCGCACATCTCCATGCCCCCTTGGCTAACCCTCGCTGGTAACTGCCCTCGCTTTGGTGGAAACTGACACGCACATACTTAAGTTTAAGGCATAGACTAGTGGGAGTATTCTCCTTCTTACCTGATTGGCTAAGAGTCCACTATGTGACCCACTTTTTTTTTTTTTTGCATGCGTGGCATAATTTACATTCAATGAAATGCTGCAGATCTTAAGTTTTCAGTTCAATGCATTTTGACAGTTTCATGCACCATGTAGTTACCATCCAAGACAAACTGTAGAAGATTTAGTTAGCACCCCTTGGCCCTTTTCGTTCAATTTCTGTCCCCCTCAAGTGACCACTGTTTTGATTTCTGTCATTAGAGATTAGTTGTGCCTGTCCTAGAGTTGTATAGAAATGGGATCGTGCAGTATGTATGCTTTTGGGTTTGGTTTCTTTTGCTCCATGTAGTATTTTTGAGCAAAAGTAACAGGAAATACACATTTATCCGAAATTCAAATTCAGCGAACTTCCTGTGTTCCTATTTGTCAGCTCTGGTGGCTGTGGTCTCCAAGCATCCCCTGTCCAGGGCTGGGAAGTGAGCTTGGTAACCTCATGGGGGATTTCTTAGCCCTCCAGGTCTTGGGTTGACCCTTGGCTATGAGCAGGTGAGAGTCTCCATCAGGGGTTTATGTTTCCTGAGTGTTAGGAATGATTAATAAACCCCAATATTATCAGGGAAATCAAATTAAAATGACAGTAGTGCACCAGTTCATATTTATCAGCAGGACAAACATCGAGTCCAGTGATATTCCCCGTTGGTGGACCCATATCACAATCTGGTGACCCCATAATTTCTCTGACCCCATATGGTCCAGCACACTAACCTCTTTGCTGTTCCTTGAACATCTGTGACTGGCTCCTGCCTCGGGGCCTTTGTATGACCTCCCTATTCACATGTCCCCCTGGAGAGCCAGGTGACTCGTCCCCTCCTTGGCACCAAGTCTTTGTTCAAATGACATCATGATTTTCCAGGACCACCCCACTTATATGTATATATAAAAACATTTATTTACTTTCATATATACATACAAGAACTGGGGTGTAGTCCAGAGGTGTGGGGGTGAGAGGATTCACCAGAGACAGAGTGGGGAGAAAAACAGGTAGATCTACTGAAATACACTGCTGAGGGGAGCAGCGGTGGAAACAGGAGAGATCTGCTGCACCATGTGGAGCATGGCCAGGAATCGACCTCATGCTGCAATGGCTGTGGATAGCTTCACAGTACTGCGTCTTAACCTCTTGTGCCAATTTTTAAAGCTGTATTCTTTTTATTGAAGTACAAGTGGTTTACAACATGGCATATAATTTGGGGGTTACATCCTCTTTGGATGTATGTCCACTACTAAAGCACTCGTAATTCTCTACCATATTCCACTGGGTCAATGATCAGCTTTTTATTTTTATTTATTTATTTTTAAAGATTTATTTATTTATGCATATAAGGGCTGGGATGTAGGCCAGAGGTCGGAGAGGTGAGAGGATTCACCAGAGACAGAGTGGGGAACAGAACAGGCAGATCCACCAAAATATACTGCTGAGGGGAGCAGCAGGGGAGACAGGAGAGGTCTGCACCATGTGAGTCAGCTCCCTGGCAGGCGGGGATGGAACTTGTGCTGCAGAGGCTGCTGATAGGCTGCTGATAGCTTCATAGTGCTGAGGCGTTATTAACCCCTTGTGTTACCAGGGAGGCCCCCCCCCCCCATCAGCTTTTTAAAACACTCTACCTCTTTCATTATATTTGAGTTATTGTGCCTGGTATCCTTAAATGAGTACAGTTGGTCATCCATCTGTAATTTCCCCCACGTTACATTTTCCTTAAAAAAGAGTAACAGAAGGTCGGGAGGCGGGGCCAGCCCAGGATTGGTACAGTGACTTGATGATATAATCTAGGACCCAGATTTTTTCCCTTTTTGCTCTGATTTCCTCAATATTTTCTGTCTTTAGGTTCATTGCTTTATGGTTGCAAGTGGCTGCCACAGCTCCAGACATCACATTCTTTTGTTCTGCTACCCCCTGCACACTTAGAATTCTCTTCTAATTTTATTATTTTTTAAGATTTATTTATTTATGCATACAAGAGTTGAGGTCGGGGTCCTCCCCTGGTGGTGCAGCGGTTGAGCGCTGGGTTGCGAGGCTG